ATACTACTGTAATTATTATTTTTTGGGAATTTTCCAGTTGCAAGTAATTCTCCACTTTGTTTATCCACTCTTAGTAACGGTGTTGAATTTTCAGCATCGACAAACAGGTTGGATAAATGAGAGCCTAAAAAAGGGGATTTTAGGGGGAATTTAGTGGATATTTGGAGGGTTTTTTGTGGATTTTTAAAAATTTTCAGAAAAATTTTCGGACTCAAAAAATTTTTTGGAAAATTTTTTAAAATTTCAAAAAATTTACATTTTTTCAAAATTTTATATTCAATTAAATTAAATGGTTCAGCATCTTCATCCAACGCTTCCACACTTCCCAAAGGAAATTCTCCCTCAGAAGAAATATTTACTGTATCGGGCCAATAAATTGTTAATTTACTTGAAGTTGGCTTTAAAAACATTTTTTTTAATTATTTAAAAATTTTTTAAAATTTACCGATAAACTGTGAGGGAAATAAGGTAAATGTTCATCTACATTAATTATTTTAATAGGTAATAAAGCTTTGACTGTTTGGCCAGTTTTTGGTGAAAATGCAATTATAATAAACTGAAAAATAAAAAATAAATTTTTAAATAAATCCACCTAAATCCTAACAGATTATTTTGGGTAAAAATGTGAGAGGGATTACTAAATTTACAAAAAAAACAAGTATTTATTTATATAATCCTTCAAATATTTGTTTAAAAAAATAAAATTGCTCGTTTAATTTTATACTAAAAAATAATTTTCTCTAATTTTTATTTTGTTCTCTTATTTAGGTATGTATTTAATATAAATGAATATTGTTGAACTTTAATTTAAATTGTTTCTTTCTCCCAAAGTATCCCTCAACTATATTTCATAAAGAAATTCAAATATATTATATATCCACCAAAGGTGGGTCGGAAATGACGAAGGTGCCGGAAATCGAAACTGGCTCAAAAGTCGGAACTGGAAATTAAATCGGAATTCCGACACACCTCTGATATCCACTTAAAGAATTTTTTTAGAAGTCTAATATAGAAAATATAAATTTTAATATCCCAGTCAAGTATCGGGAGAGGTAATTAAGAGACAAGAATCTACAATATTTCAATTAAATAAAATTTTAGGAATCATCTAAAAAATTAAAAATTAATTTCCTTTTTTAAGACACATATAAATTAAACTAAAAGAAAATGAATATTCAACAATTAGAGCAACAAATAGATTCAACGATTTACTCTCTCAAACAAAAATTTTCAAAAAATAATTTAAAAACTATCGGGCATTCAATGCCTTGTTCAGCAACAACTTCCCCTATCCCCCCACAAAAATTTAACAGAACAAATTCTTTAAAATCAATTAAATCAAAAAATTCTTTTAAAAAATTATTTTTAAAAAACCGAAAGGAAGAGGAGGAAAATAATATTTGGACAGCCCCAGTTTCCCCTCAATTAGAACAAAGAAATACTGTTACCCCCACAACACCTAATTCTTTATCTACAAATACTTCTCCAAATCATAAAAGAAGAAATAGTGCAAGATTAAGGGAATTACAGAGACTTTTAAAAGCTTATCACGAACAGAATAATAAATGGGCAAATGAAATAAAGACAAAAGAAACCGCAAAAATGCAAGGAAGGTATAGTGAAATAAAGATTAGCCCACTTTTACGGCCCTACACTGCGGCTCAAACATTTACGGCCCCGACCCTTGCAAGTGTACGGGCCGCTAAAGTCGCATTACCAAAATAAATATTTTAAATTAGTTATAATTAGATGGAAATGTTTATAATTTATATGAAAATTCTGGCTAAGAATTCTTAGCTTAGAAAAGCCGACTTTCAAAGATATCAAATAACCAAGATTTTATGAGATTGAAAATAAAAAATTATCGTTAAAACTTAATTATTCCGAGTAGTTTCGAATTTCTTAAAATTTTAATTTCAAATGAATTCCTTACAAATTAAAGGGGAAACATTATGAGAACCCATTTCAATTAGGAATAGGACAGGTTACACGAAATTCTGACCTTTCTTCTCAACCCAACCATCCGTGATTTAAATTAGAGTTCAGCGGGATCGGGATCTTGGTCGGGATCGGGCGGGATTATCCCGGTTTTTTGAATCCCGAGACCGAAAGGTAAATCCCGATCTCGGTTTTTTCTCTAAATCCCGATACCGCTTAACTCTAATTTCAATTGAGCTCTCATCCATGCTTATCAAACAATGAAATATCAACAACTACAGATCAGCTCTTTTCTTCTACAAATTTATTAGAATATCCAAAATCAGAATTGGGCAAAGAAAAGCCTTTAATCATTACAAAAGAAGAAGAAATAAATTCAGAAATATTCCCAACATTAACAAGAAAATCGGGTTTAGAAGCACAAAAACAGAGGCAAAGAATGACCCTTTCCGAATTAGAATTGGCGTTAAAAGGAAATGAAGAAGAAGAAGAAGAGCAACAATTAATTTATTCTTCTTTTGAAAGTTTAGAAATTAAAAAATCTTTTGACAAAAAATCAAAGTCTCCAAGTCCTCAACTTCCTCCAAAACCTCCAAGAAAAATAAAATATTTAATTAAAGAAAATAAAAAAGAGGAAGAAAAAAATGTTGAAAACCCTCAAAAAGTAAATTTTCAAAAAAAATTGGAGAAAGAAGGAATTTTGATTGAAAATAATTTAAAGAAACAAGAAAAATACTTTGATGAAACAAAAAATATTCCAGAAAAATTAAAAACAAAAAATAATAAAAAAAAAAAAACAACCAAACTTTTTGGCCTTCAAAATTTTAATATTTTTGGAATTAAACAGAAAAAAGAAGGGAAAGATGATAAACAAAGAAATGAAGGTAGGAGAGAAGAGAATAATGTCAAATCCCTCCTATAAGATAGACCCACGAGGTTGAAAAGTGCCTTATAATAAAGTATACCTCAACTTGGAGGTATACCTTAGGCAGCCACAGGCTAGCCAAATTTAAGAAAAACGTAGGTATCTCTTAAGGAGTATTAAGTAGAGCCCGGATCGAGACGAGATCTCAAACAAAAACTTCGCTTATCAAGATCAACATGTTTCGAGATATTCACGTATGATTCTCGTAAGACCCTCACAGTTCGGTCTCTAGTACAAACTAATTTTGAGGGTATCTTTTAATGAGGATCCGACAGGTTATTTTTTAATAAAAAATCTCAATTTTTAAAGATATATTATTAAAAACAGCAAGTTCAGAACCAAAACTATCTTCACCACCAATTTTAAAAAATAATTTAAATATTTTTTCTCGTCCCGGATCTCCATTAACTACTTTTTCATGTTCCTCTCCATTACTTGAAGCTATTTCTCTATCTTTATCTAATTTTGCTGTTGAACATTTGGAAAGATTAAAAGAATTTATAACAGAAACTAAATATGTTACGGCAGTTTTTGAATCGAGAGGAGGATTAAGTTCTATAATTGAAGATACAGAAAATGAATTGATACATTGGATGGGAATTAATTCAAAACTTTTAGCTGTAGCTTGTGAGGTACATTGGTCTGTTCCGGAAAGATTTAGAAGTAGACAAATGGATATAAAGTATGTTGTTTGAAAGTCAAAATTCTTTTAACTTTTAAGGGGGAGGTTGGTGACATATGTATGAGAGGGTATAGGGAATGTTTAGAAAAATTAAAAGAGGAAAGCTGTCAACAGAATTTGTGATAATAGAAAAAATTGAAGGACTGTTAAATTAAAAATTCGATTTAAGGCAAGATAGGAATTGAATATTAAGGAGAATTAATTGAAATATGTATAGGGAAAGAACAAGGATTTTGGGTATTTGGAGGATATAAACTGGGATATCTGAATTTCAATAGTAGATGAAATTCTTCAGTCTATTGTAAATATTTTGTGATAATATTAGATAAAATTAGATGATAAATAAATACAAATAATATTTACAATAAGCATTCACTGCATTTTCAAGGCTAAAGGAATGTTTGCATGCAGCTTTAAGAGAAAACAATCGCCGCATTTTGGGGTTAAATTCTTGCTATGAAAATATTGTTGATCCATGGAATACATTTAATATATCTCCATTTCCTTTAGTTTTGGCAAAATCGAGAACTGAAGAGAGTTGTGCGAGGGATGCAGATACTGACTCTTTTCAAGGTAATTTTGAGTGAAATCTTGTGTAATTGATAAAGTAATGGCCGATTTCCTTAGATTTTTCCTCCACCTTATTTTTTTCTTCCACCTTATCCTAGATTAGATTCAAATATAAAACGCGAGGATATAAGAGAAAGAACGAGCTATAGAGGTTTCGGTACTGACCTAAAAAGTAGAAGGAACCTTCCTTCCAAATAGCATCACATTCGTATTAAAATCAAAAATTAATTTAAAGGTATCTATCGCCGCTTCTATCCAGCATTGTTATCATTACAAGATCAATCAACAGTTGATGCCCACAAAGGTTATTGGACATTAGAAAATATGAGAGACGAAACCAAATCTCCATTAATCCCAACCCCAGCAAAATTTCTATTTCATCAATCACAAGAACAATTAAATAAAAGATCTGTGGTGGCTTTAAATTTGGCAGTTTTAAGATTAAGAGGAGACAATAGAGATTATGATAATGATGAAAAAAGAATTAAAAATAAAGAAATGAAACCAAGAAAGTCAATTGTACAGAGTGATTTTTAAAGGAAAAATTTTTTTGGATAAAATTTTAGTAAATATTTTGGATTACTGTGAATATTTTCGTGTTATTTTTGAAAACATTGTACAAACTTCCTACCTTGGAAGGTAGTAGAGATCGAGCTGGGTCTGGACCAAGGCTTGGGTTTTCCTGTACCCAGAGTCCAGGCCCAGGCAATTTTTGACCTTCCTGATTTTTCCTGGGCCTAGTTTTTCTGGACTACAGGCCCAGGGTTCGGTTCAGGTAAATAAATCAAACATGGAACCCAGGAACAGGCCCAGGCTTTTCAAAAATCTCGATCTCTAGAAGGTAGTACAACAATTCTTGTTAACCTCTCTACCTCTCTAATTCTATTATCCATTCAAAACATTTTTTAAACTCACCGCCCATTGTTCCTGGCTTTCATAATCAAATTGTTTTAAAATAAATATTTCCCCAGTTTTCTCGTCAATACGAAGCATTTCTTCCTTCTCTTCATTTTCCGTCCAATTTCCATCTAAATTACTTCCAATTTTATAAAATATTTCGTTTTCCTCTTTTTCCATTAATTTTGATTTTTTCCCAATAAAAATAGCCTCAGCCTGGCCAATTCTCCTTCCAATAGGTATATCTTCTTTTAATTCTGATGGATTGTCTTCAACACTCGGCCAAACCATTTTAAGTTCTTTAATATTTTCACTAGTTTCTTCGTTGAAAATTATGTTGACTTTAGCTATTGAGGAGAGTGGGGGATGCCTGAAAATTATTGTTTTTTGTTTAAAAATAGAAATATTAATAGAAATTGTAAAATAAATTATTTTCAAATAAAAAAAAATAATTAACATTTTCAAGCATCATTAGCTTTTTATTTTGCTTTTCTATATTCTTAATGTAAAAATGTTTGGCTCTGAATATACTATATGTAGAAACGAATCGTGGATTTTGAAGTAAGAAGGGGTGGAAACTATTATTATAAGGACTCTTCAAATATTTAAATCTGTAATTTGATCAAAGATTCCCATCTCATTTTATCCTAATCACTTCAATTATCCTAAATCATAAAATCTATGGGATAAAAGATTGTAATATGCTTTTTAAACTTTCCCTCATATATCTCTCATTTAAAGATGACAAAAAATTTTATGTATAAAAATTATTTATTTCCCCACCCATTATCTGTTGCCACAACTTTCAATTCAAACGTTTCACCCCCCAACATTTCATACAATTCACTTAATGGACGAATATCAGAAGCTGTTAAAAGCCCAGTTTGCGAATCTATTTGAAAGAAATCATTTCCTGATTGTTCAGAATCGAGTTGGAAATTTATACGGGCATTTTCCCCGACATCACGGTCATAGGCCCAAAAACGACTAAAAAAATCTTTTTCATAAATTCTTAAAATAAAAATTCTTTTTACGTTATAGCCCCTCCTCTAGGCCATTCCTTCGATGGCAACACCAAATATTGTTCTCCCTGATGTGCCCAATTAATTACTGGTCTATTATCATTTTGATCAACCAATTCTATCAGAATAACAATTTCTTCAATATTTTGTCCAGGAAAGTCTACACAACGAAGAACTAGACCAATAAATGGTTGTTGTTCGCGATCTAGTTGTTCAGCATTTGGGGCAGTTAAAATACTCCATTGACTTGCTGATTGCTTCTAATATAATTTTGGATTAAAAAATAAATGACTGTTTTTATTAATAATTTCAACAAAGACACGATTTTTCGACCGGTTCCAAACAGATCCGGATCATGTATTTTTACGGTGATCTCACCTCTTAAGTCTTAATTAAAGTAAAAATGGGTAGATTTTACTATAAAAGCCGTCAAAATTTTAAAACTTTACCCAACCTTTCCAAACATTCATATCAACTCTACAAACATCAACATCGCCTACAAGCTAAACAGCAAACTCCATGTTCGTCCGCTGCCATCTCCCAATGGAGCTTGACCCCGGCCCTGGGACAAGGAAGTCGCCAACGCTGTGCTCCTTGGTGTTGGTGCTGTTCGTCATCGCAACCTTCCTTGTGTGTGAAGTGCATGGACAGATGAAGGAGGAAATCGTCGGACTCGGCAATCACAAAAGGAATGGCAGCCAAGTGGAGCTCAACCCGTACACTGTCAAAGTCACAGAGAAGGACTTCAACTTGACAGAATACAAAGGTCGCTTTCAGGATGCCTGTGATGTTAAAATCGAGAAAGACTACATGTGAGTTTGCATTGTTTCTTACGAGAATTTTTGTAATGAAAATTCTTTTATTTTTTAGCGAGCTTCAGTACAACGAGGACGGCAAGGGATGCATTGTGGATTTGCTCAGCAAGAACAAGACAAACAAGGACAAGATCAAGTTAACAGCTATAGTGAGGAACAAGCGAGGAGGGATCAAAAAATGCCTTGATGCGGGTAAAGAAGTGGAGGATAGCTACAATAATAAGTAAATTTTAGGATTCTTTAGTTCGTTTAAGCTAGTTTCAATTTTTTAAACTTTTACAGTATGCCCTTCGTCTACAGCGTTAGCAATGAAGTCATCGAGAAGCTCAACAAAGGACTAAATGATGATTCCATGGGGGCGTGTAAAAATGTTTGCATGTCGTGCATGACAAGGACATCTCTTGAAGTATCATGGAGCAAGTATAAAGAAGAGGACGTAAATGTGATCTATGCTCACACCCATCTATCAATAAGTACGTAAATATATAATTTCTTATATAATTTAGACATTTATTGTAGTTGACGAAGCGGAGCGTGGTCTGACTCATGAAAAGTCTCGCAAAGATACCTTCGATTTGGAGATAACGGCGACTAACAAGTTCACGATGAATTTCGAAAAGCACGAAGTATTTGCTCTGAAAGATACTGTTTGCGTTGCAGAGACAGTTCAAGCCGTCAAACCAGAAGCATGGAGCATCACGAACAAAGAACTACATGAACTGCATGGTCAACATCTGCTCGTCTTCAGTCTGCTTTCACGGAATGCTACTCTTGTATTCGAAGGGAAAAAAGTTACGTCTAAAAAACAGTCTATGCCGCATTGTGAGCTCTTCGTTCAATTTGTAAGGATTAAACAAAATTTAAAATAATCATTAATTCAATTTAGAAAAGATCGGACTACGAGCTGCTGTATGTTAAACCTCTGCCAGCGAAAACAACGACGACTGCTAAAACGACAACAAAAAGCTGTCCAACGATACCAGAGGCTGCAACGTGTACTCCTTGTCCACCAACATCTGCTCCTTGTCCAGAGAAATGTCCTCCTTGTCCAGCGGCATCGACACTGTTCAGCAACAACAAACTAATGACGACAACTGCGGCCACAAACATCCCATCATCAGCGGATCCTGCGAAAAACAAGTGCCCGGAAGAATCCTGTGGATGGCTTTATATTGTGATTGCCGTTATTGTTGTGTGTCTAATCATCATCGGAGTTTTGGCATGGTTCTGGAAGAAAAGGGATTCGGAAAAGAAGGAAAATCTTAAAAGTGAGGAAGACCTGTATGCTCTGTACAAAGCTGAGGAAAAAGTCATAGGCCCTCACAATATGAAGCAATTTGACGTATGGAAAGCGCATGTAAGTTTAAGAATAAAAAATATTTATTAAACAAATTATTTTCACAATTTTCAGAGAAAGCAGAACGAACTGGAGGAGCTTCCGATTGAAAGACTGGTTGCTATAATGTGGAAGAGGACGGAGAGGAAAACCCGCAAAGATAAGATTCAGGCCATTGTAGACGAGTGCTCGAGGCAAATTAACAAGGAGCTCAAAGAGAACGAGTATCCGCAGGAAATGAGGAAAAAAGGACTTCGAGAGACCTTCGAGAGATGGAAAAAGGTGAAAATGTTTTTTGATAAGTAGCTTCCTAATGTCAGATTTATATTTCAGAGAAATAACATCGATACTGCGTTCACCGTGATCGAGGGAACAACAACTGCAGTTGAAAGTGAGCAGCCGAAGGCCGTCGAGGGGGTGATCGTTGAGAAAGTTGATAAGGTGAAGGCTGATGAGAACGTTGAGGAGGCAAAGGCTGATGAGAACGTTGAGGAGGCAAAGGCTGATGAGAACGTTGAGGAGGTGAAGGCTGACGGGAACGTTGAGGAGGTGAAGGCTGATGAGAACATTGAGGATGGCGTTTCGGTTCCACTATCCGAAGGAGGAGTTTGACATTAAGGGATATCCTGTGCCTGGAAGTTCCGAAGGTGAAGCTCGAGAGATAAATATGAAATATTCTATATATTGCTCCTTTGTTATGTGGAAATATTGTTCCTATTGTTCCTATAATATTGTTCCTATTCCCTATACCATATATTCTTTCTATTGTGTGTAATGTATATATTCTGTTGTTTGTATTATATTTGGTTGTAAAAAATAAATTGTTGTTTCGAATTGTTTTTTAGTTGGGAAAAATTTGGGAAATATTTACCCCAAAATAAGTAAATATTGAATGTTTGTGTTAACTTTTAGTGTATTAATTTGAGTTTGGGTTAATTTGAGGAGGGAATTCATTAATTTGTTTTTTGAATTCAGAAATGAGAAGGCCAAAACAGGAAACTGTTTACCCTTTTTTTAACCCGAAAGAGATTTTCTGTTTATCTGAAACATTTAAACAATCTCAATTGAAAGTTAAAAGTATATTGGTCGGAGATAAAAACTTTTAATTTAAACTTACCCCTTTCTTTTGTTTTTCATTAATAAGACTAAATTTATCTGCAAATTGCCCATTTAAATAACAATTGTGTTTATGGGAATCTGGATCTAATATTTCAAATGAAGCTAGTTGTTTATTTGGGGGAGAATTTTCTTCGATTTTTAGTCGAATAATTTTTGGTGAAATTAATAGATTTTTAGATGAATTGGAACTAAAAATAAATAATTACTTGCTTATGATTTTCAAAATAAAATTCAAATTTTTGTAATTTTCAATTAGTTTGTAAAAATTAAAACACAAAAAAGTAGCTTTAATTGAAAATTAAATTTTGAATGAAACTCCCCCAACTTTTCCCATTTTTTTAATTTAATTTTGCCGAGTACTAGGTAGGATAAATAATCACCGTATTTCCTGTAATACTACACCCCCTGAATTAGAACTCTCCCCTTTAATAATACTCCACTTTGGAGAAGTGTTGAAAAATAGTACTCCCGGGAGTAGGATTAAAGGAATTACTGTATTTACTAATTCTCGAAAGAATTAATTACCGTAAATGCTCTAATTGAAGCACATGTGCTTCTATTTTTCGATCCTCTCGTAGGGTGTGCTTCTATTAGAGACTGTGCTTCAAATAGAGACTGTGCTTTTATTTTTCGATCTATTTTTCAATTTTTTAAAGAAAATTTTTACCCCGCATAATACAAAACAAAAATTAGATTTGCATTAAAATTCATAAATTTCATAAAAATTTTTTAGAAAATAGCTTCACAAATTTTTTTCTTCGAAAATTTTCAAAATTTTCGACTGCTGTATTGAAAGAAGCAAGCTCAGATTTAATCATAGAGCCAAGGAAATCTTATACACCCTGTACTCATAAATTTCATAAAGCGCATAAAGTTTATTGTGCCAATGCTGCAAAGCTTCCCAACGCCGGTAAAGGATCACCGTATCACACTTAATCCCAAAATCCTCTGATATCCCTTCTACTGCCACATATCAAAAGTATCCCTTTTAATCTTCTGATATCCCATTTAATCACATAACATTTTCATACATGTATCCCTCAATACTTGTTCAAATCCACCAATATCCCTCTTGATATCCCTCAACTACTTTTGATTTAAGTCATGAGTATTAAATGCCCCTCTATTTATCATTTTACACTAATTTTTATAAAGAATAATGTACTGCAATAAATGATGTACTTTTTCAGCGGTATACTAGGGGTGTGCTTCTATTAGAGACTGTGCTTCAATTAGAGACTGTGCCTTTATTTTTCAATACTCTCGTAGGGTGTGCCTCTATTAGAGACTGTGCTTCAAATAGAAGCTGTGCTTCTATTAGAGCATTTACGGTAACTTCCAAAGGTTTTTAAATATTTTTCCTTCCTTTTACCTTTTAATTTCCTCTTTTTCGATTTCCTTCTCTTCATTTTCTTTTAAATTAAATTTAATTTTTGGGGGAACATCGTCAATATCAATTAATTCAAATTCAATATTTGCATTTACAGATTTATCACTTTCTGTTGAATTAGCAATTAAATAAAAACGTTGAAAACGTGGAGAATGTTCGAAATCGAGTTTTTTGGATATTTTAATTTCTCCTAATTAAAAAAAAATAAATTTTAAAATTAAAATCAAATAAATAAATTTACCTGTATTTTTATCATACTCAAAAGATTTTGAATTCTGTCCTTCCAAAAAGACAGAAACTGGAGCACCTGTGAGTGGGTTAAAAGCAAGCAAACGAAGCAATGGATGTCCAATCTTTTTTTTAATTTTAAAATTATTATTTAATTATTTGCCAGCGGTTTTCTTAAGAGGAATTTACTAATTATTATTAATACAAAGGAACAAAATCTGCAAATAATCGCCAGAAAATAAATCAAAAAAAGATTTATTTATTTTAGGAATTCAATTTATTTTCCTATTTAATTATTAAAAATTTCGTTGAAAATTTTCCAAATTTTTTAACACTGATTTGCGAGGTTATTTTTGTCAAGGCTTTGAACAACGGCTTTTTTTTAAATATTTTTTTAAATATTTTTTATTAAATCATACATATATTCCTTTCCTTACATAAATTAGGGTTCTTAGGTTCGGAACTGAATCGAAACCCCTGAGGATTTTTTAGTTAAATTCTTCCTATAATTTATTAAATTGTTAATATGCCTAATAAAGTTTAAAATTCGCTCTTTAAATTAATTAATTTACCGGTAATTCCTCAGCTATTTTTGCTTTAATTACAGTTGTTTCATCTTTCCAAGGTACAACAAAACGAGGTCTAGATAATTTTTTTAGACGTTCAATTAATTTTAGAGGATCAGATTTAATTGAAATTGTTAATAAAGTTGAACATTTTTCTTCTTTATTTAAAATAAATTTTACATGAATTGAATTAATTGTTTTTAATAAATTAAAATTTAAACGAATTGAGCCATTTTTTGGAAAATATATTAAAGAATCCTGCAAATTATTTAAATTATTTTTTTTAATTAATCTTTGGGGGAACAAATAAAACTTATTTTCCTAAAACTAAAAATACTGTATGTAAATAATACATAGGGTCTCACCGAAGTTCCGGTTCCGGAAAGTTTCGGCGTTTTTTTGGTTCCGGTTCCGGTCAAAAATTTGGTTAAGGTGAAACCCTAGTAAATAAAGTAAAAGGATTCCACAAAATATTCCAGAAAACAGGAAAAGATTTTATTAATTATGTGAAGGTTATGAACTAAAATCGTCCTCCTTTCAAGTACAGGCTTTCGGGTTAAAAGCCCCCCCCCCCTTTTCCGGGTCTTAATTGTAAATACGTTAACTCATAAAGGTTAATTATATAAGGGTTAATCCATAAAAGGCAATCCAAAATATTTTTTTTTGAAAAATTAAGCAAAAAAATATTTAGAAAAAAGAGATTATTCTTTTTAAGAATTTAAATTTAAAAATTTATTTATTTAAAAAATCCTTAAAAAAAATTTTTTTTTTCTTAAATATTTCTTTAAATCCCAAAAAAATTTTCTTATTTTATTTCACACCCAAAAGTCTCCCAATTATTTTTAAATTATATTTTAAAATCATTTTTTTACTTTTTCCAAATTAATTTGTCTAGCAGAATTATCCCAAGCTTCAATAAAATCTATTTTTGCTTCATTCCCAATTTCTTTTTCTTCAAATATTTTAATAAATTTAATTAAATTATTTTTAAAAATATTTTTATTTTCTTCTTCTTTTCCTTCCTCCTCTTCTTCTTCATTTTCTACTCTTTCAATATTTAATTTAATAATTGGAGAAGAAAAACAATTTTTTAAATTTTGGGATTTAATGTTGGGATTATTTAAATTATTTGAAAGTATTTCTAAATTTAATTTAGATTCGGCTAGAATTAAATGGTTTTCTCTGTCAATTGCTGCTATTTTTAGTGAAATATTGCTGGGTGGAATACCTTCTCTTAAAAATTAAAATTTTAAAAGATTAAAAAATTATTTAAGGGGACAGTTCACTGAAAAGACAATTTAAAAGTTATTAAATATTTGAGAATTTTTTGAGAAAAGGTGAAATAGAAAATGAATAAAAATGATCAAATTTGAGGGATATTTCAAGTCTCCTTAATTCGAATAAATACAGTCTTAAATTTATAAACAACTTGGGAAAAATAAAAAAATAGAAAGTCGGGTTTAGGGTAACTCGACCCAACCCTGATGTATACACAACAAATGACTAATAAAATTAAGATATGTAGCAGGGATGGATAATTTTGAATTTTAAAAAGCAGAAGGCGGAAACGGAAGGAATCCAGCCCTCAAGTGTAGTTAATTAAACTTACGGTAGACTTTCTTTATATTAAAAATTTTTCTTTTGGTTTTACTATTAAATTATAAGTATTAATTCCTTCATGTAAAATTTTTGGAAAAATTGAAAAAAAATTTTTTTTTAAAAATTCCCTTACTTAGGTATTTTATCAACAAAAACATTCCCGATAAAAGGTTCAATAGCTAACCATCCAGGATTTTCATCAACAATTAAATAATTAATAATTAATCCTTTTGGGGGTAAAGGAGAAAGTTGCATTTGAATTATTGGAATACCTTTTTAAATTGAAATTTTAATCAAAATTAATTATTACCAGAATGTATTTTATCAGAATTTATAGAACGTTCATAAATAATTTTAGCGAAATTGAATTTTTGTTTTGTGTTCTGAAAAAAATTTTTAATTAATTTGCAAATTAATAATATTTTCCAGAGACTAAATAGAGAAATGGTTGTTAGTCTGAAACCAAACAGAAGATCAAAGGATTTTCGGATTGGTTATTCAAAGATTTTCCATAAACCAATAACTCTAAAAAATTTTTTTCAATATATTTTTCCGAAAACAATTAAAAGAAAAATTTAGTTAAAAATAATTCGACTTTCTTGCTTCGAAAAAATAAAATCCCCGACGAAAATTACACAAAATTCTGCCCAGAAAAATCTGTTCCTTTAAAATTCAAGTAAATGTTGTCTCAGGCCCTCAAATAATTAAAATCCAATTTTTTCAAACTTTTAAATTAATTTTTAAAATTTTTAAATATTTATTTAATCAGAAAAAAATAAAATTAATTTTATTTTATTTTTTACCTCAAAACGTATTTTAAATAAATAAACATCTCTACTTCCATCAACATCCTCAACAATAATTTCCAAATTTTCACATTTATTAATTAAATTATTTTCTTCTTCATTTAATTCAGAATTTAAATTTAAAGAAAATAATTCGAATTTTTGTTTTTCTTTTGAATTATTTAATCGGTCAAGTTGAAACAATTTTGAACAATTTTGGTTATTTATAAATATTTTATTTTGTCGATTTTGTGGAGAACTAGTATTTAAATAAAATATTTAGAATTTATAAAAATTAAGTCTGTAACAGGGATGGGCCGGGTTGAGAAAAAAGTCGGGTCGGGTTTTGGGTCGAAAAAAGGTCGAAAAAAGGTCGGGTTTCGGGTAACCCGGCCCATCCCTGGTCTGTAAAAATGAACATAGACCCCATCCGACTCCAAAAGGTCGTGAGGGATCAAACCCTATGTAAAAGCTTCTAGATTTCTGAATAAATGCTTGGTTTTGTTAATTTTTACGCCAAATTTCAAATAAAAACAGTAAAATACACGCGAAACAAAAAACTTTTTCTTATAATGGGGGTATCCTAGATAGGATTGAGATACATATAATATCTAGTATTAGGTAAAATTAATAGTAAGGTTCAACTACTGATTTATTTTTCTCATTCCCAAAATCTGTACAATATGAGAGCTATTTTTGAGTAAAAAAACGTTTTCTGTGCCAGGTGGGCGCCGAAACTTATTTAAAACTGAAAGACGAAACTGGCACAACTATACTTTACATATACCATATTAATTTTCTCCAAAAAAAATTTTAAATTAATTTACCTATCATTATCTATTATAGCCAAAGTTTTAGGGCCTCCTTCCATTATTTGTCCATTTTTAATTAAAATTTCTTTATTATTTTCATCATCAATTAATTTAATAATTGGTTTATTATCGTTAATATCCTTTATATTAATTATTAAAGAAATTGGGGAGGAGGAAGGACCTAAAGAATTTAAATATTTTGCTGTAAAAACTAAATAAAAAGTTGTTGGAATTAAAGAAGATTCTAAATCTAAACAAGAAATTGTTAAATTGTTGTTAATTAATGATGATGATGGACATTTTAAAGTTAAAAGGCCATTATTGTCTATATTGAAGTAATTGGAACCTTGGCCAAATAATGAATAAATTAATGGATTTTGTGTTGTTGAATTTGTTGAAGACTAAAGAAAATAAAAGAATAATTATTAGAGTTGACTAGTGTACACACACTAATTTAAATTTTTTATTTGATTGGTCATTGGAAGGGAGGCTGCCTAACATAAGCTCTATACCATGGTCGAGCCTCGCCAAATTTTTAAAATTAAAAGACGGAAGCGGAAGAGATTTCATGCCTGCTTTCTATACCCACATAATTATAACACAATTTTTGGTTAGTTTACTGCTAATTTCTGTTTCCATCAACTAAGGTAGGGAGGAAGACTTCTTAAAATATCTCCTTATGTTATCTAACATCCTCAAAGAAGAACTTTGGTTAACTTTGTAACGGGAGGATATTTCTTAAAATAAAAAGTACTGATTTTTCCTATTTACAGAAAAAAATATTTTTCAATTTACCTCCCCTTCCCCAACAATTTTTAATTTCCCAATTTCGTATCCATCCAATTCATTTTCATTTAAATTAAAATTATAACTATTTTTTTCAAATTTTGGTGCTTTTTCTGGTTCTCCATTTAATTCCAAATTTCCATCAAAAATTAAAAAAGGTTTGTTCTCAATTAATTCTTTTCCTTTTTCGTCAACTTTTTGTCCAAAAATTTTAAAATTTAGAGGAAATAAATGAAAATATTCTTTTAAAATTTTTGTTGGATTTAGTAGCCATAATTCTGCTATATCTCCTGGAGCTAAATAATGGGGGCTAATATCTAATATTTTTGGAAGGGAATCTGTTGGTGTTGTTGTTATCCATATATGAAGTAATTTGTTTGTTAAATTCTGAAGAATAATAATTATTGAATTTTAAAATTTTTGTCAGTAAATCATATTAAAGAAATAATCTATATATAATTTATTTATATGTATTAGAGACAGGACCAAGACGACAGCTTAAACAAAAATCTTGGTTAACGAGATCGATGTTTTTCGAGATATAGATCTCGAAAAGATTCTCATACGACCCCCCACCCCTTCTCACAAATCAGCGCGGTTTCTATAAAACAAATTCTTAGTTAAAAATCACTTCCCCATATAAGACTTTGAACATTTATTATTTAATTACAGGAATATTAAGTGCTCTTTAAAGTCTTTTAGCTATAATATTTAAAATACTAAGGCAAAGTTGAAAGAACCGATCAATAGGGATTTCTTATCAACATTAAAAATCAGAGAAAAAACTCAAGCTCTATTAACATTTATTTTTTAATATTAAACTTACAAAATATTCATCATTATTTTCTTCATCATCATTTAATTTATATTCCAAAACAAAATTATCTATTGGCTCATTAATTAAATTTGGTAATTTTGAATATAAAATATTAACATTTCCCTTATTTACTAATTTTTTATTAATTAAAATATTTAAATTTTGAAGGACTAATTTAATTAAATTAATTTCTTCTTTTGTCCTATTTTCTTCATTAAATAAAGAATTATTTTTAATTATTAAATTATTAATTAATTCTTCTGTTAAATTATTTTTCGCTTCTTCATTTAAATTAATTTCTTCAATTAATTCCTCTTCAATTATATTTTCTATATTAATTGTAACATTTTTCTTTTCATCCTCTTCAAAATTATTTTTTATTTCCTCTTCCCCTCTATCTACCAACAAAGAAGAATTCTTCAACTCCTCAATCCCCCCAATTATTTCAATTTCTGTCCCATTTTCCTTTAAATTTTTATTTTTTGGCATTCTGTCTAAATTTTCCTTAACTTCAATAACTTCCTCATTCTCCTCCTTTTTAACTTCTAAAACATCTTTTGTTGTCTCAGTTGTATTTGTTATCAAAATTTCTTCTTCTTTTTTTCCTTCTTTCGGCTCCATTTCCAAGTGTGAATAATTTCTCATAGGCAAAACTTCAACTTTAATTTGTGCAAAATTCTTTAAATGTCCTTGACGACTTGCAACTTTAAATTTGTAAACTCCATTTTCTGTAGACGATAAACTTATATTTGCTTTTCTTTGTCTCAATATCGGTATTTCAGCAAGAATGTAATTTGGGCCCGTCAAAAATAAAAAAAATTAATTTTTAAAAAATTTATTTCTTAATTTAAAAATTACTTGTGTAGATGCTACTTCTCCTACAGTAAACCACCCAAGTTTTTCTCCTTTAAGTTCAAATTGGGGTGGTTGTGCATTTAAATGTCCAAAAAAGGTTAAAACAGCAACTAATGCATCCGCCTTAGAAATTAAAAAATCTATTTTTTTTGTAAATAAATTAAAGGTTTTTAGCTTTTATGCAGAAAGCAGAAGTGTTAAAGATTTAAATGTTAAAGACACAAATGTTAAAGATATTATTGTTAGTAGATAGGTGTCAATACCATTACTAGGCCCTGCCACGATTTAAAAAGTGGAAGGTGGAAGAGAGCCCGTCCCTGGTTAATACCTTGCTTTCTCAGGATTTACAAGTACAAGTATTTGATTGCCTCCTCACACAGGGGGCATGCTATACAGGAACTAAACAAAAACAGGCTTCATCAACTGCAGGTATCCTACAAGTTGCCCGTTAAATACAAATCGTATTCTAGGTACTACATCAAGTAGTATATAAAATCCAAAAATAGTAAGTGAAACTACTACTAAATATTCTTCATAGGGTCGTGAGTTAACTTCAAAATTCGAATAAAATTGGTGGTTCTTCAGGTACCATAAATTCATAAATTTCTCTATCAAAATGAGGCATAAATTCAAATTTTTGATATTTTTGTTGAGAACGTTGTTGTTTTTGTTCGTTTGGATGAACAATAAAATTAGCAATTGGGACTGATTTTGGCATTTCTATTGGGGGATTAATTAAAACAATTGAGGGTGCTGAGGTTATTTGTTGATCTTCTGAAGGGGATAATGTTGTGTTTAAATTATATTTCTCTCTATTTTCCATTGAAGACTCTAATAATGAAATTCCATTTTCTCGATTTTTGTTTTCAACAGCGTGAAAACGAATCTCTCTGAATTTAAAAAGAATTTAGAAAAAGACAAAACAAAATTCAAAAACACCCCAAAGCCTCTTCCAAAGCAGCCTCTGCTTGATCTTTTGTTTGTTTTCCATTTGTATCAAATTCTTCAAAAATTTGTTTTGGTGTTATTCCAATTATAAAAAATAAAATTATAATGTAAAAATAAATTGATAGCATTTTGAAAAAAGGCTAAAAAGTCTTTTTAAATATTTAATTTAGATTTTTATGAATTTTTTTCAAATGTGTCGGTTCCGATTCCGGATATCCAGAGATTTCCCAAGAACCGCCTTACTTACACCTCTATACTCAACCGCTCCAAAAAATCGGAACTTTGGCTGGCCATAACTCGGCCCAAACTAATTTTGCAAAAAAAACGGATCTCACCACAATAGTAAGTCGAAGGTCCTCTATCGGCTGGTACCAAAAAAATTATCAAATTCGCACTGACAGTAAACGATGTTCCCTTGTAAGACTAGAGCGTTCTCAAATTACCAAGCCTGGTGTTCGAGTTAGTTCTTTCAAACGATCTAGGCCGGCATTTCCGGGTTAAGAACCCAAAACCCTGGATTCTAGCAAAATATCGGTCTTCGGGCAACCAGACTCTAAATAAACTAAATAGTAAACTACATATACTAAAAATAAAGATTTAGAAGAGAAGATTTTATGTTAAAAATATAATTGTTGGGAAAAGATTGACTAAAAACTACTACATACTACAATAATAATGACCGCGTAAATCTTTCCTTCTCGAATGACCCAAATAACTTTTGTGCGCCTTTTTTGTTTTAAGAATAACACATTTCAAAAAATAAAAGAAAATGAAAAATATTTTTTTCAATGTCCTTGAAAGGACAATTTATTTTGATTAATTAAAATTAAAAAAATTCAATCAGCCTCAGCTGTAATCTGGCGCCCCACATAATATCCTCTGATAAGACTAAGAAGCAAGATGTCCTTTTTAAGCCCAGCAGGCGCTAAAAATGTCAGGTTTTGGTTAGATTTACAAGATTTCTCGAGTCAGGTTTTGAGATTTAAAAAAGTCCGGGTAAGCCCGACAATTGTTAATCTAAATTGCTCAAGATTAACAAACACCTCGAGATGAGAATTTTCTTCAGTCCATTCAAGTTCATAGACCGAGATTCAATTAATTTTCATTCAAACTAGGTGTATTAAGTATGAAAGTCATAATTGAATTTTATAGTACTTTTGTCAAAACATTTAATGTTGAAAAATAAATATTTTGATTTTTCTTTTATTAAATATCCAAAATAATCTTAAACATTAGGCTTTACCGTAATTGAAGGGGCAATAAAATATTTAAGAAAGGACCGAACTCCAGGATCGATCGATTTTAGATATATGAGCAAACCAAAAAAAATATAAAATTTATTTTGTCCAATTCATCTCTTCCTTCAGCTTTGAATTCTCATAAATTAAAAAAATTATTAAAGGTAAACATAAATTTTAATGAACAACAAATTTTTGGGCTTAGTTTTCAATAAAATATTATAACATCTACCCGCCATCTTTTTGTTTTTGATTTTAATGTACATTTAAGATATTGTTTAATTTTTATTAAGAGTGAAAGCACTTAGGTATGTTAAAATTATTTTTTCAAAATAACTTGGAAATTTTGTTTTTTTAATGATTTTATTTTTTAGGTCCTTAATATAATCAAAATAAATAGTTTAGAAAGTGCCGTCTCTCGCCAAATAATAGAACTTCTCGATTTTGTTTGTCTTACCCTGAAATTTTTTGAATTAGAAAATGTGTTAAATTAAATATTTTACTACCTTCTTTAAAACAGCTATTGTTTTCTCAAAATCTGACTCGTCAATCAAAGGAGTACTTGCTGGGCAAAAAGCTTTAACACCATTTTTTTCAAGCCAGTTCAAATTAGATGCATGAAACATCATTATTCCTCTAATCAACAAGACGTCATTATCCTCTTTATTTATTTTTTCGCAATCTAGTAAGGTGTTCTAAAAATGAATTTTTTAAGTAAGGTGTCCTAAAAATAAATTTTTTTAAAAAAAAATTCATTTTAAAAATAAATTTTTTTTAAAAAAAATTCATTTTTAGAACACCTTACTAGATTGCGAAAAAATAAATAAAGAGGATAATGACGTCTTGTTGATTAGAGGAATAATGATGTTTCATGCATCTAATTTGAACTGGCTTGAAAAAAATGGTGTTAAAGCTTTTTGCCCAGCAAGTACTCCTTTGATTGACGAGTCAGATTTTGAGAAAACAATAGCTGTTTTAAAGAAGGTAGTAAAATATTTAATTTAACACATTTTCTAATTCAAAAAATTTCAGGGTAAGACAAACAAAATCGAGAAGTTCTATTATTTGGCGAGAGACGGCACTTTCTAAACTATTTATTTTGATTATATTAAGGACCTAAAAAATAAAATCATTAAAAAAACAAAATTTCCAAGTAATTTTGAAAAAATAATTTTAACATACCTAAGTGCTTTCACTCTTAATAAAAATTAAACAATATCTTAAATGTACATTAAAATCAAAAACAAAAAGATGGCGGGTAGATGTTATAATATTTTATTGAAAACTAAGCCCAAAAATTTGTTGTTCATTAAAATTTATGTTTACCTTTAATAATTTTTTAATTTATGAGAATTCAAAGCTGAAGGAAGAGATGAATTGGACAAAATAAAAAATTTCTTGATTTCATAAATTATAGTGATCCCCAAAAATTTATTTACGGTTATTCAGTATGACAAGGAATTTAGAAAGTCTTTTGTACCTAAGTTGGATATTTAATAAAAAAAAGCGGAGGATTTAGAAAAATAAAATTACTTGTGAATGATTAAATAAATTTCCTAACAAAATTTTAATTAAAAAACTTAATTTAATTTTTTCACAATTTTTTACTTGAATTCATTTCTGAAGCAATTACACGGCTCAATGCGATTTCCAAAAGTGTTGGTATTTTTTGAGATTTTTCTTTTGATTGAAGCTCTTTATTGTTTAAATTGAGTTCACTAGATTGTGGAGATATTTTGACTTCTTGTTGTTCTTTTTGTTTGGTCTAAATTATTAAATTTTTATTTTAAAAAGAAAAACATTTTTTAATAGATTTTTTCAATAGAGCCATTTTGGAATTATTCAGATTCGAATTTAGAACCTATTCGATTTTAATGAACACCCTAACCTTTAGATCACAATATCAATAGTTTAAGTTTCAAGGCAAATTTTTAAAACTATTCTTACCTTTTTCGGTTTCCGTCCCCTCTTTTGTCCACTAGTATTTTTGTCATTAATCTCAGTTTCATCAGAAGTAACTTTTACAGAATCATCATGAGAATTTTGTCCTTTTAAGTCCCTTAAAAATAAATAATTAAAAAGTTTTTCAAAGAAATCTAAAATCAGCCTCAGACATTTTTTAATCAACATACTATGCCAATTCAGTAGCAGAACTGGTTTAATTACACTTTCTTCATAGGCTGACGTTAATAAGAAATTAAAAATATCCAAACGGATTCGAACCCACAACACCCTCTCCGCATAGACAAACACCCTAACCACTAAACTAAAACACAACTAACACCTTTCGCTTGTAGAACTAGCTATAACTGCTCCTTTGCGTAATGAAGAAATCAAAATAGGAATAAATTCTGGTCGAAACATGTGAGAAATTTGAGCTAAAAATTTAAAAAGAATTTATTTAAAAAAATATTGAATAAAACCTTTTTTCGTATTTAATTTATCCTGCTTTTGCTTTTCATGAGTTGTCGTCTTTAATCGTTCGGATGAACTCTTTAATATTTTTAAAAACAGATAAAAAATAAAAGGTTCTACTTGACTTTATGAGTCCAATCGAACTTTATGAGTCCAATCGAACTTTATGAGTCCAATCGAACATTATGAGTCCAATAAAAATTTATGAGTCCAAATAAAACTTTATGAGTCCAATCAAAATTTATGAGTCCAAACAAAACTTTATGAGTCCATAGGAATTTTATGAGTTCAATCACATTTTATTAGATTTTATTAAATAATACATTTATTAAATAATAAATTAAAAATGAATAGGATTATGTTGTTAGACCTATGGAATATAGGCGAGGCGCTTGCAACATAAACCTATCCCTTTTTCAGCACCTGCTTTGATCTGACGACCTACCACGTAGCTCACAAAAATCCGATTGGACTCATAAGCTGTGATTGGAATCATAAACCATAGTAGAGCCACAATTTTTACTTAGAATAATAAGACATGTCGGATTTATAAAATTTGTTTGGACTCATGAATTTTGATTGGACTCATAAAGTTTTGTTTGGACTCATAAATCTTGATTGGACTAATAAAGTTTTATTTGGACTCATAAAGTTCGATTGGACTCATAAACTTCGATTGGACTCATAAAGTTCGATTGGACTCATAAAGTCAAGTAGAACCAAATAAAATTTAAAATTTCAACCCCTAACACATTTTAATTTTAAATATTAATTACAAATTTAAGTTTCTTCCCATGTTTGCCGTATAGTTGATCGAAAACTCCTTCCCTCGTCCCAAATTTAAATATATACCTGAATTTCTTCTTCAACAATTTCATCTTCCATAAAATCCAGATCAACGGCATTTTCTTCTTCATAAACATCTCCACAATAAATATCCTCTTTAGTAGCACTTTTTCTATAAAATTTAAAAAAATTTTTAATTAAAAAATCAATTTTTACTCGTCATAATCAATATCATCAAAATTATCGTCTCTATCCAAATCTTCATTGCTAATCTGTTCCATTGTGATATCTGCAGCCATTTCTTTATTTTTTCCTTTGGATCCAGTTTCATTTTTATCTATTTAAATTTATTTTTAATTAATATTATTTGAAAAGTTTAATTTAGAATTAATTCATTTGTACTTGTGTTGGTTTAAAAAAATTTACTAGAGACTTATTAATTGAAAAACTTCAGAAACCCCAGAAAATTATCAAAAATTAAGGCACAAAATGAAGAAAAAATAAAATAGACTATGCTTTACACAAGCCACAAAATCGGAATTAATACTAATATTCAGTATTTATTCTAATAGAATGACAGCCATTCAATTTTTCAATACCTCAAAAAATGTCATTCAAATGGAGGTGCCATTCAATTAGAATAAATACGGTACTTATTGTTATTTGGAAGAGTCCCTCGTCAAATTAAAAATTCATTTTCAATAAATAAATTTCTATTAAATTCTGAAAACGAAATTAGAATCCCGATATTTAAGATACCCCTCTTCTCAATTATTAGATCCTTCCCAAAAATTTAACAAAAAATTTTCTTTAATCCTCACCAGTACAATCAACTTCTTCCAATTCTTCACCCAAAACTGCAATCTTCCCTTCTTTAGATGATTTTTCCTTTACTTTTTCACTTTTAAATCGTTTCTCAGCTCCTCCATTTCTTTCTGGCGACAAAGACAGTCTTCTTTTAGCAATTCTTCCACTTCCTCGAAATGCCAAATGTGGATTACGTCTATCAAAAGCATTGAGCAAATCTCGTAGTCGGTAGTAGTCATCAAGCTAGAAACATTTTGTTTTGTCTTCTTTTAGTTAATTAATTTTATTTTTTAAAAATTCTTCTTAAATTAATTTTTGTTAAAAATTGTTTCTCTTCATTATAAACTTCTTATAAATTTTCAAAAAAATTTTTTTTTAATTTCTTCAATTTTTCTGACTAAAAAATTTCTGTTAGTGCCTTCTTTTGTCAATTAAAGTCTACGATAAACTTTTGAGAAAATTTTTCTTTCTTTTTTAGGTTTAAATTTTGGGGTTCTCTCAAATAATTAATTCCTCTTTTTCTTGACTGGAATATCCCATTATATAATTTTTAGAAATACTCTTCTTATTTTTAAAATTATTTTTAAAGTCATCCTCCTCTTTATTAAAATATTAATTTCTGTAGATATTTAAATACGTTTTCGTTCCTCTTTGCCTCCATCATTTGTGAAAAAAGTTCGTCTCTGTCTTCAACAACTTCTTCAGGTTTATCTGGCAATTTGTCTTCTGCTGTTCTGTCCGGAGAAACCTCATAAGTTGGCTGATAATAAATTGGACGGCCTTGAAAAGAAAAAAACTGTTTTTAACAAAATTTTAAAAAACAAACCAAAACTTCCAATAAAATCAGCTCTTCGCGAAACTCTCGAAACACCACGAACTATTCGTCCTCTTTCTGAAGAAAATGAATGTTGATGAAAACCAGATGGTGAAGAGGAACGTCGATCTAATTGATTTATTTGAATTATAATTAATTTTAAAATAATATTTTTAAAAAACCATGAAATGGAACTCGAGGAAATCTACCTCTTGTACTGAATCTTGATATTGCAGAGGCCCGATAAGCACGAATGGAAAAAGGTCGCGGACGAGATGAATAAATAACACGAGGGCGAAAGCTGAAATTAAAAATGTTCTGATTAAAATGGAGGCAAGTAGATTTGAGTTAAAAATTAATTTAGTCCCAAAAAATCCGATTCACGGTAGTTTGAAACTAGGAAGATCCAAATAAAAGACTAAATGCCCATTCAAGAAAATTTTAAACATAAAAATTAAAAACCTCGAAGAACGTGAATAAGCAGACGAATCACGACGAAAAGCCATTGGCGGAGAAGGTGAACGCCTAACAACTGGTCTTCTAGAATCATTTTCATGACGTTGTGATCCACTGCGATGTCTACTAAAAACCATCATATTAAAATGAATCAAAACAAAATTTTCAAGAATTTAAATACCACAAAAAGAAAACACCTGTTCCCATAAAATTTTAAAGAAAAAATACCTTTCTGCAGTTGATCGATGACTTTTTTCATATTCAGACGAAGAACTTCTGCGTTTATGTGAGTGGTGACTTGGCATTTTTCTAAAGAAATTTCTTAAAAATAAAATTAAAAATTAATAAAGGAAATAAATTGATTAATAAATAAATTGAATAAATCAACAAATAATAAATAAAAAAATTTTTAAGTCGATTTTTAAAAATCAATAAATATTTGGAATAATACATATAACAATTGATAAAATTATAAATCTCTTTGAAAAGGCAAAAAATTTTCATGGAAAATACATACTATAATATAGTAATCGAAAAAATAAATTAAGGATGGACATATTCTTTCAAAACAAAAAATATCTATCTAAAATAAAAAACAACTGAAAGGAAAGTAAATAACAAATAACAGATGGTTATTAATTTTTACTTTTATTTTGAGTGACAAAAAATTACCGAAAAAAATCTGTGTAACAAAAAGGACAAAAAATTAAGAAATCACTCAAAAGTAAAGAAAAATAGTTTTTTTTATACCATGATAAAATATAGACTAACACTAAATGCATTTAAGTATTTAAGAGAATTTTCTTTGGAGAATTTTTAAAAAGATTTTTTTTTAATTTCAAAAAAATTTTTTTTCTAATCTTCACTTCCCTGATTGTTGAATTGCACCTTGCCACACTCAGTACAAACAAAGAATTCAAGCTCATCTTCAAACGTTTCTTTTTTGTATTTTAGTCCAACATGGATTGCTGTTGGCCCTCCGCTCTCGTCGGCTAGAATCAACTTATTTCTAGAAAAAAATTTTTATAAATTAAAAAAAAATAATTTAAACAAACATTATATCAATTGCGCATGTACGTGTTTCGGCTATAACGAAAGAGTCATCTTCGTAGACAAAATAGCTCTTATTACCCAACAAACTTCTGCTTTAAAAAATAACATGTTAGAAATTAAAAAAATTTTTAAACTCACTCTTTCCTTGGATGTTTTCCACTATGCATTTCTGGTGTAATTCTAATTGTTTGTTGACTTTCAAGTTTTAATTTATGGAAACAATCTTGTAAATCCTTTTAAAAATATTTTATTTTTAATAAATTTTAATATATAAATACCTCTTCAGAAATTTCTAACCAATCCGCTCCAAGTCGTACAGCCTATAAAATAAAATTTAAAACATAAAAAGTTATTCGTTAAAAACATTTTTAAAACTTTATGTTTTTAAAAGGATTCTAAAATATCCATAGTAATAGGATTAAATAAAAAACAGATTTATAAAACGCATAGATAATTAGCTAAACTTAAGTCTACCAAAATTTAGTTTAAAAATAAATAGAGGGCCCAAAACTTATTTGAAGAGACCAAAAGAATTTTATAGATAAAGAGAAACAATTTTGTGCCCTTAATAGTCAAAAATGTGAGATATTTGTGAAAATAACAGACTAAAATTTAGCTAAAAATTACGAGTAACATAAAAATTCCTTTTTTGTATGTTTTCAAACCTAAATTAATTAAAATTAAACCAACATTCATATAAAAAAGCAATTGAATAATTTGCATGGGAACAGGCACAAAAGCTCTTTTATTACATTCAACACATCTTGACCACAAATCTTCTGGGCGTATTAAAATTCTCAATTCATGCATTATATGGTTAACTAATTGTGAAGGCTTTGTAGCTCCTCTTGTTGTACTGATGGGAACAAAGAAAACTCTTTCAGGATTTAATAAAGTTTCCAATTGTTTATGGCCTTTTCCGGTACTTAAAACAATAAAATCTTTGTTGTTTTCCATTTGACAAAATTCCACAATTTTTTTACGATCACCAATTAATCGAGTATCGAAGCCACATTTTCTCAAAACTTTGCCTAATCTAAAATTATTATATAAATCAATCAAAAAATCTGTAAATAACAATTTAATCCCTATACAATAAGGATATTACTTCTCCCGTATTTTATATCTTACTTTATTTCGTTTCTCTAAAAAACTAGGTCACTCTTTGTTTGCTGACATCCTTTTACGTGAACTAAGGTGAGCTCAAAAATTATTTTCAACATCCCATAAATATACATTTTCTCTCAATCTCATAAGAGGTCATTCTTTTCAATAAAATAGTAAAATCTCAACTTACCCAAAAAGCATAGAATCAACAACAAATCTAACATCATTAATAGACTTTAAGGGCCCATTTGACGAATTTGCAGCTTCATCATTAAGTTCATGTGATGCCATCTAAAAGAAAATATTTTTTATTTTTATTTTAAAAACCTGAATATTTTTGAAAAAATCATTTTCTCCTTCTTTTATTTTAACAACTTGACCATCATCTAAAACATAATTTTGTTGTTTCTTTTCCTCTTCATTTATAAATTTAATTAAAGCACAATTTTGCAAAGAATTTTGTTGATCTTCACGTAATTTTAAAATTAAAGGAGAAACTTTCCTGTATAATTGAACTAAACAATGAGCATCCAATGCAGCATATTTTTTCTCTAAAATTAAATAAAATTGCACAGAAAAAATTAATTAAATACTAACGTTCAAGTCGTAAAGGTCGTTGACTCCAATTTCCAGTCCTTTCACTTTTTTCCACTTGAATTCCAAGAAAATAATTAGCAACATCAGAAAGACCCAAATTTTTTAGAGGTTTGCCTAAAAACTTTTGTTAACATTTGAATTTTTAATTATTTATTAAAAGGGAACATCTGACTGACATGAGTCATATCGATTCTTAAAATTTTTTTTTACTAATTTAGTATAAAAAATTCAAAAGTTGAAGACGTTTACTTATTAACTAAATAATAATGTTTTGCATGCTAAAGTCAAAATTTCCCTTTTAAATATTTTTTTCTCCTTATTTTATTAATTCCTCAAACTACTTCTTACCTCCAAAAACGGCTTCAGAAAATTCAGGATCTAGAGCAATCTAAAAAAGCGAAAAATTTATGCGGAATATTCTTTTAAAATAAAAACCTGTCCAAACAATTTATATAAACAAATAATATTATTAGACTTGAGAAAAAGATTTGACATAAAAGAGAAAGTACTTTTGAGTACTCGAATGTCATTAATAAAATCATAGCCTTAAAAAATTTTTTTTATTTGAAAAAATTTAAATTTAAAAAACCAATTTTTTTAACATTTGGAGTACAAAATAAAGCATCAAAGAAGTTGGTCCATTCAGATTCAGTTAATTCTAATTCAACTTCTAGACGTAATACATCGATAATATAGACAACTTTGGAGGTGGCTATTTGGATTAACGAAATTCTAAAAAAAATAATTGAAAAATTTGAATAGTCAACATAATAAAACAAGCAAAAATGTTATCAATTTTGATAAAGGCCGACGGTTCTGAACCATGGACGATCGAAATAAAATTTTTTTATTTCGTTTTTATTTTTTCTTGTTCGTTCCGAAACAAAATGAAATGGAAAAAGGACACGAAATAGCAAAACGAAATTTCTTTCATCCCTGTTCCGAACCAAAAATTTCGGGTTACCACAGCTAAATGCCCCTGATAATGAGAATTAAAATAAAAATAACTTTTCATCGGCCGCAAGATAATGTGGTCTCCATTCTGCATCAATTCCCAATAACTTCTCTCCTCCATTTCTCAGTACTTCAATAACATCATCCAAAGATTCCAAAGAATCTACCAAAATAATTGGCGTTCCATCATCCAAAGAACAATCAAATTCTTGTTCAATTTCTTGATTTCGTTTACGAATTTCAAGATTCCTAAAAATTATGATTTTTGTTTAAATTATTGCAAAAATTCTGTTTACTTTGTTATGTTGTCACGAATTGAGTCAATTTCATTTGGCTAAAATTAAATTAAAAATTAACGAATAATTTTTTTTAATTCCAGATACACCAGCCATAAAAGATGGGTAAAATTGGTAATTTATTTTTACATATCTTAAGAAATACGAACAGAAAAGAAGGGAATCAACTTGAATATTAAAAATAATGTATTTAAATAACCTGTATATTTTCTATAAAATAAGCCAATCTCCTCGGATATTGAGACTCCGGAAGTTTAAGTAAATGAGCAAAATACAAAGCCTTATCGCCCAGACCTTTATCAAGCAAAAAATTGAAATATTTTTCTCTAATAAATTCGCTTTGACTAAGTGGAGGCTAAAAAAAGAATGAATTTGAAAAATTTAGGAATATTACCAATGCTAATTCTTCAAAATGAACCCAAGAATGTTTGCCATCTTTCCAACAAAAATGATTGTAAAGTAAAGCGTCGTAAGCACGTTGAATCATTACATTTGCAATGTCACTAAAAAAGTTAGAAATATTCAAAAATGAATTTAGAAAACCTGTCAGGCGTTTTGTACTTCTTCGCGTATTTAATGGCAAGCTGGCCAAAAATTTTTCACCCCCCCCCCTGGCTACGGGCCTGGAATGAACCAACCCCTTAATAATCTAGACAAGAACCCGACAATACCCAAAAAAAACCAAGGAGAAAACCTACAGGCAACATAAAAATATTAAAACAAACCTGCTCAAAAGGGTAATGATCACGAAGATTTAAAAGCGACATCCATTGAATAGCTTTTACAAAATCTTCAGCTATGAGAAGTTCATTAATCATATTTGATGCAGCAGGAGTCATCGAAACATCATTCAAGTGAAATGTTTTTACAATTAATTGTAAATGCTTGACTTTGAGAACTGATACAATTTTCAATGCATTTGTCTTAAAAATAAAATTTTAAAAAATTCAACTTTAAATAAATTATACAAGTAAATCAACATCTTCAATATTCTGCGCTTTTTGAGTTAATTCAGGTTTGCCCACGAGAAAATCATTGTAGGCATTGAGAGCTGTTATGACCTAAAAAATTGCAAAAATTTAGGATTGACTCCGTTTTAAAAATTTTCCCTAAAGCATAATCTGCTAACATCTTTCTTGTTTATGAGCTTATAATGGAACATATTCCTACATATAGAGGGATAGGTTTATAAAAAATTTATCACACCAAATTTTTTTATTGCTCCAAAAAGTGGAACTCACAAAAACGCTTAAAAAATGTAAAGAAGTGATGAAAGGACTAGGCTTTAAGGAAAAGGTAATACTTCTTTCTACCTCAAATTCTACTAAAATTTATGGTAAAAAGTTACAAACCAATGAAAGATCATATTGCTTTGCTAATAACGTTGTAATTTTATCCAAATGAATAACCAGATTCAGAAAACCCTCAAAAACATCTTCAGGATCTTCATCGTCAAAATAACGTCTTATCGTTTGTTGAATGACTTTATATTTGTCTTTATCTTCCAATACATTGGTAGACTTCTAAATTATTAATTAATTAAAAGTTGAAATTAATTTAAAAAAAACCTCATAAATTTCATTAACTCTAAGCACACAATCACGAAAAGTTAACGGCTTCAAGCCTGTAGAATTTTTTCGTTCAGATTCTTTAATGTTTTCATTGTTAGAACTTTGAGAAACATCTTCATCAAAAAACATTTTTTTAATTTGATCAAAATCTAAATATGCTATTAATATATGCCCAATAGATGCTTTTTTAACAAAAAATTGTTTTTTTTGAAAAATTAGAAAGGAAGGGAAACAACTAAAAATCAGGCAGGCCCTTTGAACGCCAATGACCCTGAACGTAAAGGCCAAAGTTCTTCTGGTGCTCTTACAGGACAATGATCTGTAGCTAGCGATTTCTGGAATTAGTCATTTATATGCACCAGAAATTACAATCATGTAAAGAAAATTTATACTCAAATTCCAGAAAATATCGCTATCTCCAGCTAGATTTGTGAGTACCAGCACAACTTCAAGAAATCAAATTAATGACAAAATAAATAAATATTTAATGTAAATTACATTATCTTCAAAAAAATTAAAAAAAATATTTTTATTATTCAACAAAAATAAACGAAAACAATTAACTTTATCACATTTTACTTGCTGCTGCGCTAACTGAAATAGGTGCTCCCTGTGCTTCCATATTTAGCATTTGATGTTCTTGAAAACGCATTGAAAGTCTTTGGCCGGCCTTAAAAAATGAAATTAATTTCTTCCAAATATTTTCACACAATTTTTATTTTAACCTTTAAAAACTTTTCCATACAATTTCTAGTACACAAATCTTCTTTATCGCTTACTTCTCTCCTCGAAAAATCAACCACACAAGAATTAAAACAATGCTCCGTTACAGCATTATATTGTAGAAGAAACTCACGAAACTTAAAATTTTAAAAGATGAAAAACCCCTTTTATCTCAAAAGTATTTAAATTTTGCCAAATTTAAAAATGTGATTAGATGCTAAAATTAAATTTTTTTAGATCGGACTCAAAAATTATTAAAACAATTTTTTACCAATTTAAAAATCCCGAGAAAAAACCCCCCATCATAAGTAAATACCTACTGTTCTAAGATCCGATTCTGTTGTCATTTTTAAAGTTGTTTTGATTGAATTGTTCACTAAATATTTAACTAAAATTCAGAAAGGCTAGAAAAGTAAAATATTTAAAAGCAAATATGTAGGTATGTTTAAAAAAATTTGAATTTTTAACAATGAAATTAAAATCAAATGTTTTTTAAAAAGCCAAAATTTCTAACAAAAATTTTTAAAAATAAATAATTTTTAAGAATTATTTCCAATCAGTTTTCGCTTTATTTTTTCAGTTTCTTCTTTAATTAATTGATAACATTGTAAACAGCAAACCCAAGGAGAAAGTGAATTGTGACATTCTGGACATGAAGCAATTGGGGAAGGACAAAGCATTCGAAGAGGGTTAAAACGTCGTTGTAAAACTTTTGCTTAAAAATAAAAAAAATTTATGGCATTTTTTAATTTTTTAGAAATTTTCTTTAAATAAGAACAACGGCCCCAATTATTACTAGAACGTTATTCCCAAATATAACCCAAACTCTACTTCCCCTATCATCAATAACTAAAGATTAAAATAAAATTTTTTTATAAAACATACGTTTTGATGTTCGTATTTTTGGCACGCCACCCAACAATCGGCTAAAGAACATTTTTTATCTTTAAATTTAACCTTCAAAGTTTGAAAAAGAAATTAATAAAATTAAAGATATTATCAAGAAAAATGATTATCTTTTTAAAAAAATAAAAAAAAAATTTTTTTTATTTTATTTAAAAATTTCTTTTAATTTTAATAAATTCTTTCCTAACAGAATAATCATTAAAAAAACATGTAAATGTTTTTAATTTTATTTCATCTTCTTGATTTTCTTTAATTGGAATTGCTTTAGCACTATAACAAAGATCTGATGGGTTGTTACTTTGCCAAGAGTGGACAAGTCTTAATGTTGAATTGACAGATTTTTGAATAATACTTGCACCTAACAGAAAAAATAAAAAGAAAATAATTATTTAGAAAAATACGACGAAATTTTTTTGGGAGACTCAAGGGAAAATTCTAAAAGGGTTATAAGTGGCAGGGTTCAAGACTAGTGATAAAAAATTATTTTGATGGTTTTTTGTAAAGGAATAAACATGTCTTTAATTTAAAGAATTCAAATACCTCCATACATACAAGCCAAAATAAAATAATCATTTTCAATTAGACTAACTTCCCAAATTCCACCATGCAACTAGTTGAAAAAATTTATCTTTAATTTTAAAATAAAAAAACCTTTAAAGTCGAAAGTGGTTTATTTAAATTTCTCCAATCAAATAACCTTAAATTGTCGTCATATGAACCCGACATAATTTGATAATCATCATTCAATTTATATAAAGAAGTAACACCAGCAGAGTGTTCAATCTTTTGTTGCTCGCCTGAACTAAACAAAATTTTAAAAATTTTTAAATAAAAAATATAAACCTAAAAGAACAACGCAAATCCCAAATTTTCAAAATTCCATCTTCTGCACCGGTTGCAAAAGTCTAAAAAAATTAAATTAATTTTTTTACTATTTTTTAAATTTTACAACAAATTAAAGTTTAAAAACCATAAAATTAAATTGTTAATAAAAACAAACTTGTCCGTTTATCCATGAGCAACACCAAACTTCACATTCCTCCTTAATGCTAATTAATATTTTTTTAATTTATTTAAAATAATTTTAAGAGAATTCGAAAACAAAATAATTTTATTTTTGTATTGCTTAATTAACATTTCAAAAACTATTAAAAACTAACTAATCCATATTTTGACTTATGTCCACAATTAGAAACAAAAGAACCATCTTCAACATTAACTAAAAATATTTGACCCTGTGTATTTGTAGAAAGAATTCGATCATTTAAAATAGAACAATCTAGCAGCATTTGAGAGCAGACTTGGAACTGTGCAGTAGAGAATAAATTCTCATTTTTATACTTAAATAAAGAAAAGTTAAATTTTTAATTGAAGAAAAAAAATTCGAGGTAATAAGGGGCCAAACTTCATATTAGCCAAAAAAAAAACCCAAACCTTTACTATAACAAGTCGTCCATCCGTAAGTGCAAGCATACACCTATCATTATCCAAAATGAACCGGAAAATACCAGCGTTTAAGTCCAGACTACAGCTTACAGTTAAATCTTCATTTTTAATTAAAAATAATTCGCCAGCATAGGATGAGACTTAAAAAGTTACTCAAAAACATAAAAAATTTAAATCTTTACCAGAATTTGTGTTAGAATTTAACTGGTAAGTGCCAACCAACAAATCTTCGCCATCTCCAAAAATCTGTGAAGAAGCTGGTTTTTTGTTTAATTTTGTAGTCAAACATTTCATACTCTAAAAGCTTCAAAAATATTAAAAATAATCAGAAATTACTAAAATAATTAATATAATTTAAAAATATATTTAAATTAAAAAACACAATTATTAACAAATAAATTTATTTTATTCTTCTATTTATAAATAAATAAATAATAATATTTATAGAAAATATTTTTAAGTCAAAAAATGCTTGTTAGTAGTTTTCATATTTAATTTAATAAGTATATAATTGTGCATTTTAAATAAAATAATTAAATGCTTTTTAATAAGGGATGGGCAAGGTAATAGCTCTTGAATTAACAAAAAAAGATATGATGGTCAAAATATAGGGTAATAGCCAAAGGGGACAATAAATAACAAACAAAATAATATAAGGTGTTAGACGGAAAAGCTTATCCAACGATTGACAGTGAAGGACATGGAAAAAACTCTTTTTAATGTTACTTTATGCCTAACTTTATTGCTTTTAATTTGTCAATTATGGGAGACATCTATGCTTCTCTTGGATAAGCCCTTGCGTTAACAAACAGAAAAACCCAACAAATGGAAATTTCATACATTTTCATAAATTAACTTAAGCTTTCCAATGATATTCAGAAAATTATTTTCTCATAAATCAAACAAGCTAGAGGCAGAGAGACGAGATATCGAAAGATCTCGTTCAGCGTGAACAAGATTTTTCGAAATATCGATCTCGTATCCCTATTGAACCTTCAAGTCCTATCTCTAATAAAAAAATATTCATGCAAACTAATCCGAAAGATTAATGAAATTTCCATTTGTTAGACTGCCCATTATATTTATTTCCTATTTCATTTTTGCCTAAAAATAAATTTTCAAGAATTTCAACTAAAAAACCTTCCCAGAAACCAAAAAAGGAAATTTTATTTTCTTGAAAATTTATTTTCTGAATAATTTAATAAAAATAATTTATTTTCTAAAAAAACTATTTTTTAATACTTTTTTGCCCCTCTTTTGTTTTTATTACTTTTACTTTGTCAAAATGCTTTACTGGATTACATTGAATAGTTTCTGTTCCACGATTTTTCCGAATTTGGTAACGTTTTGATACAGCAAAAAATTTCCTCAATTCCTTATTTGTTGAATTTATATTATTATTTGATTGTGCTAAAAATTGGAAAAGTCTAAAAAAGATTCAAAAACTTAAAAAAAACCTTTTGTCAAAAATTTTTTCAATTCCCTCTCGCCATGTGCGAAATTACAATTTTCACCATATGGGCATTTATCTCCATTATTAAACTTTTCACATAAGACTGTTTTGTAATATACAGGATTAAGTTTTCTTAATTTTTTAGATCCATGAGCATAAAAACAATTTTCTCCATGTCGACATTTTGGACCTTTTCCTTCTTGCCAGTTTTGCCAATAAAGGCAAATATGCGTTCTAAATTTAAAAAAAGAGTAAATTTCTTTAAACAATTATTTACCTATAAAATATATGTTTATTGTCTAAATGGGATCCTCCACTAGTTCCCTCAAGTACATTGTCACTACGCTGTGCTATACTACTTGCAGGGCTATCTGATCGAATAATTCCATCATTTGTATTTTCACCATCAAAGTCATCTTCGTCGCTGTAGTCTTCCTAAAAAACGGATAATCTTTAAAAAACAAAATTTAACAACTAACCATATACCCATCGTCAGTACACGGACTTGGTCGATGAGACAAATACTTAAAATGACAAAAAATATTTCTCCGCAAAAAAAAGTTAAAAAACCTCAGTATTGCAAGAAGTTTTTCTTCGACGAGCAACCACTGTTTGCCACTCATCGACAGATGGCGGTCGAGGAGGTGGAGATTCTACTACTTCAATTTTCTCCTCAACTATTTGAGGTTCAGGAATAACAAAATTGTCATTGGGTGTCATATTATACATTTGAAGAAACATATCCTCTTGAACATTCCTCAAATGATTTAAATAGGGATCACGTTCAAATAAGTCATCAAATTGAGATTCCACCAAAAAATTAGAGAAATTCTTATTCTCTTCAATTTTGTCATTAAATTGTTCAAAGGTCAAAGGCAATTTTGGTGGAATTTGAGTTTCTTGAAAATTTTATAATTAAAAAAATAAAATCAAAAAAAGAAAACAACCTTCTTCTTTTTGTCGAATATTAATTAAAACGTCTTCATTTTGTTTAACCACCAAAGAGTTTGAAGTTGGAGGAATAATTGTCGTTTGTGGTGGTGGTGGTTGTGGCTGGCTAGGAGGAGAATTCGATATCGATCCTCTTAAAGGTTAAAAAAGATTTAAAACATCAAAAAGAATTAAATTTTTTTGAAAAATTTTTAAATTTCTTTCGGTCTAAAGGAGAAACTCACCGCGACTTAACTGTCTGCATATTGTTAGAATCCGATTGTTTCTTCACCAAGGTCGTAGCTTTTGCAGCAATGTTTGCGAAAGACTTTTGTTGTGTTGTTTTTACTTGAGCTTGTTTAGGAATTTCAATTGTTTTATTGCCATTACTACTCAAACTTGGAAAATCGGCATCTAATTAAAAAAAGTAATCAGATTGAAGAGAAAGAAAATTCATAGGAAGATTAAAACCCACTGCCTAACTTGAAGATATTAAAAAAATTCAAAACAAACCATCATTGGTGTCAAAAACAGAATTTTCCTGCTCCTTTGGTAAAGGACTATACAAATTCATAGATTCAAATTGTTGAGCAACTTTGGCCATTGAAATTGGTGGACTTGAAGGTTGAATGTTCTTGGTAACCTAAAAAATATTTATTTGAATAAAATCCAAATTCACTTCCTATGCAGACTCCAAGCCAAAAAAATATAATGGTCAGTTATCCCATTTCTCAAAATTCCCTAACCTTAATTTACATAATTTAAATTTTCTCACCATTGGAAATGTCGTCGGTTTTGATGGATTGCTTTTGACAGATGTACCGCTCTCCTTTTGCAACAACTCTGAGGAAGATGGCTGATCTTGATGCCAGGTCAATGGTTGGAAATGGCAAGGTTCAATTAAAGAACCCATCGTCAACACAGTTTGAGGTGGCGGCTGTCCCCAAAGCATCGGACGAGGGGGCGGTGGAGGAGACGGATTTGAAACTAAAAACGGCTTTCCATATGGTGAAGGCGGCGGTTTGCTCATATCTTGTTTATATCGGTCAGCGAAACGATTGTCCATTGTGTAGCAAGGCCACATTGTCGCAGATTTAATTATGTCAATGTCTCCAAACAAAAAATTTTTCTAAACGAAAAGGGATTATTAAATCCCACCCAAAAGATAAATAAAAAATATAAAAATTTGTTTAGAAAACATACTATTAACTACAACAATCATGGCACAAAATTTTATTTAAAATATCCATATATGATCAAATAAAACAATATTTTGGACAAATTCGGAGAGATGGAAGGAAAACGGAAATATATGTGTACAATATTATATAACATTTACTGGCAAATAAAAGTTGTATGGGAGACTTTTGAACTTTATGAGCCCTCTCCTTTTTTATTTCTTGCTTATTTTTTCTTTTGATTTAAAAAATAATTTTGGATAAAAACTCGCTTCCACAAAGGAGTTTTTCAAGTTTTTTTTTGTTTTTATAAAAAAGGGCGGGGGGGGGGGGGCTCATAAAGTTCAAAATTGCACGTTACAATCCATATAGGTAATGTTATCTTCCAAAATTTTTACACAAAAAATCACCAATATATTTAGAAATACAACATTTGCTTTGCAACAAGAGGGAGAGAGAGATTAAATTCAGCAATGGGGATGAAAAAACACTAAATTTTATATAAATATATTTTCCCTTATTTTTTTCTTAAAAAAATCACCAAAAAATTCCCTTATTGGCCATACAAATCACGACTGCGAGAAACCTTCGATTTCTTCTGGACTGGCTCGACTTCCCTTCTCTCCTCATCATCTATCGGTTCCTCTTTCTTTACTTTCTTGAGAAGCAGACCACGCGACAAAAGATACTGATGAATTTGACGCCCCTTTTTTTCAATGAAATCCATGAGTGGCAATGGAAGTTCCTTAAAATTAATCAGTTATTTTGTTGCAAAAGGAGTAAATTACCGCGTGAAGATAAGCCGTTGTCCATTCAAAAAACTCAGCACCATCAATTGGTGAATTGGAAATGCTTTGAAGTCCAACATCCATATAGGCATTTGAAACGTGTCGAAGCGTAAGTTTGCGATACATCTAAAATTAGGATAAAACTGAAAATTCAAACTTTCCAAATGACCGTATGTGTAGTAACTGAGCCAGCCATTGGTACATTAACAGAATATTCATCACTTTCCGTGACCGCAACAATTTGAGCGACCTAAAATAAATTTACATTTTAACGATCATAAATTTAAAAGGTTACCCCATATTTGGTATGGCCAGTACTGTCATGTCCAAGCACCATACGCACAAAACATCCTTCAATAATATCCGCGCCCTCAGTACTTTGAACCAACGGGACAAGACGCGAACGGCTCAACACAATTTTTTTCAGTTCCTCTACGGATGAGACTTCAGAGCGCTTGGAAGCGTCATGAAGCGCCAAACGAATCTCATCAGAACGCTTGTTGATCCAACGAATTGTAGGCAGAGGTTGCTGAAAAGAAACACAAAAATTTTGCCTTAATGTGAGAAATACAAACAGTTTTGAGTTTAGCATTTTTGTACCAAACATCAAATTCCTCTTGAGTGATTGGATCCACAGCGGTACTTTCAAGAATTCGTTCAGCCTGATTATCAACCCGAATACGCTTCGCATACTTTGATTTGCCAATAGGAACCTCAAAAATAATGTTGAGTTCTTCGATTCAAATACCTGAGTATCGATAACCCCAATGATACGATAGATAGCATGGAACGTCACTTTGTCCGTCTTTGTCAACATTCGAACATAACAGTTTTTGACAAGTTCGTCAAAATTTTCTGCCTTCTCCGCCAGTCGAATGAGCTTTGCACGAGAGAGAACAACCGGCTCAAATTCGTGAATAAAACGAACCTAAAATTTAAGAGAAGCAAATGAGGAGGAAATTTAATTTCACCTCCTCAAATTGGTCAACGCCTCGATTACGATCAAAAGCCATCATATATTAAGAAAAGATATCGAATAATAACCTTAACGGGATAAAAGTTGAAAAAAACTATGAAACAAACAAAACACAAGAAACAAAAATAAAAAGATTTTCCTTTTATACTTTCAAAAATTTATAGACATAATGCCAAACTCAACGCCATAAACGACAAATTTCAAATGACTAATTCATAATTATTCGAACTTGTTAAGTCGACCGTTATCATTTCGAGTTATACTACTACAAATTTGGCAGGCATTAATTTATCAAAGATTCGAACGTTACGTTCCAGTTCAATACGTAATTATTTCTCACCAAAGATTATCCTGCTATCTTTAACTGAATCTCTTAATAATTTGGTTTCATTTAGATGTCAGCACAGAATGGGATCTAGTACGAGATTTTTCGTTGTATCGTCTTAAAATTCCAGTTTTCTCAATTTTAGGGATTGGTGGGATTTTATTCTTGAAATATTTACCAAATTGAAGGCTTATATTTTTCTCCCAAAGTTCATTCTAGTGCCACAAACGAAAATTTGAGAGTTTTAAAGTTAATTTTACTTTTTAAAATGCCCTTGCATTTGAAATCTACAATTGAAAAAAGTTTTTTTAATTTTAAAGAGAAAATTTTTAAAAGATCACTTTATACACAAATATATATTAACTATGTACGACAAAACTACCGGACACAATTTATATTTACATTTAGATTTACTTTTTATCTATTAACGACTATATATTCTACATTTTCTAATCCTCAATAATCTTCTCAGGCACCTGCACTCTTGGCGGGAATTTGAATAATCTGAAATTAGAAAAAAATCAGAAATGTCCGAAACTCTCCCTCCTTTGAGAACGAACAAAAAATGCCGAATCGAATGATTAAAAAATATATTTCCCAAAAATACCCCCAAAATTCCATTAAATATACTAGAAAAGAGTTAATGGACATATATTCAAAATATCCCCAGACAGCCCAAAAGGAAGTTTTCAACGTTAAAATAATTCAAAAACTCACTCAGTTGTCACATCAACATTTTCTCCCAATTCCTTCAGACAAACTTCTCCCAATACATGTGAAGGTATAGCTTTACCAAGACATTCAATCCACGGATGTTTAACTGGAACCAATTTAAAATCTTGATTCCATGGACTCGTTCCAGCCCATTCACCAAAAACATTTCTGAACATTTTTATTTTTTGAAAATCTTCTTTTGGTGATAATCCTTTTTTCAATTCATCAAGGGATTTAATGAAACTTTTCCACTCAAATTCTTCTTCCGAGTCACGATGTTTCATATTTCGAATTCCAAAGAAAAGTGCACGTAATTTCTTAAATTTTAGAATTTAGAAAAATCCAACCAAAAAACATACCGAACAATTCTTAACAAATTCCACAGCAAGAGAAGTATTTAACGGCCAAGAGACGTGCAAATACTGAAAAAAATATTCTTAAAATTTAACAGATCCCTAAAGTCTCAAAAAACCCAAAAGTCCCAAAAAAACCCCCAAAGTCCCAAAAGATCACTAAAACCCAATCCACATTACTTACTTCAATAATTCCTCTTTGTGCCATAGACATCATAGAATCATATAATTGTCTATCTTTGACCATCCAATGCGTTGTATCACTATAAGTACTTCCTTTGAGTTTAAAAGTCAAAGAACGCAGAGAAGGCAAACCAACAACTTGATTGAAGAATTGATTAGCATTCACAATTCTGGTTACTTGAAGGACCAAATATTCCAAGTTTGGTAATTGTAAGGCACTAAATCTGAGAGTTCCAAACTGGAAAAAATAAAAGTTTGATCATCCCTCAAGACAGGAATTCAATAGATGAGAACCCATTAGTTCAACACAGCTAATTTGTGGGTTAATATGAAGGCATTCTTATTCTTATAATCCTAAACCCCCTTATCTAGGCAATTTAAATATTAGAGATCTTCCCATCCTTGTTACTCAAAAAGGGCATAAACTCGTTCCCAAAAGTAACATCAAAATTTAAAAAATAATTTCCAAACCTCAACAGTAACCTCCCCAAAATCCAAAGCAGTCAAACGCATAAGAAATTCTCGAGGATAAAATTCAACGTTTTCCGCACGATTACCTCTCCAATCCCAGCTATGAAATGGAAGGACTAAGACTTTGATATTTTGGAATGGTTGCATTAGAACATGTGCTTGCTCGTTACCTTCATCAAGTACCAGAACTTTCTAAATTTGTTTTTTTAAAAGAAATTATTTAAATTTTTTGAATTGGAAGAGTATAAGCTAGTGTGAGGGTTGTTAGGGACAGATTATTAACTGGGGGTAATATTTCAAAAAGGCCCTTTGAGTTTTTAGTATGGCCGGTTTTGGACCACTACTTAATTTAACAGTTTTCGATTTCGGTTTAAATGACCGCCAACAATAGAAATATTTAAAAGTCTGGACAAAATGATTGATAATCCTCAAAGTTATGCTAGTGTCAGACTTTTGGTATGGTCAGACTTTTCCATAAACCTTATACTCTTGTGTATTTTATAGAAAATAAAAATTTAGAGAAACTCACAACATTTGGAACGTGTTGCCGAATTGTTTGAATAATTCTGAAGAAAGAAAAAAAACATTTAAAAAAAATACTTAAAGACATTCAATTAACCTCAATTGCCTATCCAAACTTCCATCAAGATAATTTAATTGAAGAATTTGAAGAGAAGAAGGAAGTCTCTCAATCTCCAATTTATCTTAGAAAGGAAGTTTATTTATGCAAATATAAAATAATTAACTTACCAAAACCTTCACAGTTGACGACAGAAAGGACTTGAAGCTGTTGAAGACCATCAAGCATTCTTTGAAAATCACGAGCGAATTTATAATGCTTAAAAGAAAGAAAAATTTATTTTTCTAATGTTGGGGGAATTTGAGGAACCAAAGAATCACCGAAAAAATCCTCACTTCGACCCTCAACCCTAAGAACAAGTAAATTCAAAAATACCCACCAATCGACAGTTTTTGACAACCAAAGACTTCAATTCAGGCAAACGTTCAGAAATTTCCAAAAATTCAGAGCCACTGAGGGGCGACAAATAATCCAAGCAAAGATGTTGAAGAAGAAAGCAAAGTTGAAGTAATTTAAATAATCGGTCCTTTGGCACCAATTGATAAATTACAAGTTCAAGAGTGTAACGACAACAACGCTTCATTATGAGACGGAAGTAAGCGCGACCCTGAAAATAAAAATCCTCGATTATTAGACTCTGTTTATTCGAAAAATAACAGATTAGTAATATCGCCCACACTAGAGTGCGGCAAAATCGCATTCCCGGGATCCCTAACGGGATTTTTTCAGCACTTCGTACGGGACGGGGCCCGGTAAGTCCGTTCGTCGCTTAAAACCCAGGATTCCGGGACGAGATCCCGTAAAATCCCTTAAGGATCCCGACCCGTGCCGAATTCTAGCCCACACTACATTTATTCATTTTTTACTTACACTAAACAGATAGGTCTTGTTTCCTTCTATCGTCGCCTCCTCTGGAATTACAACAATTTTGCGCTGTCCAATCCATCCCATTTTAGCTGTGCTGCGAAAAAGACGAGAAACATGTTCCATTCGAAGTCGATCAAGAATGGAGAGACTTTGGAAAACTCGAGCCTAAAATTTAGAAAATTATTTTTTTAACAAAACCACTAAAAAACTAACCAAAATGTGGTAACCCAATTCTTCAATTTTAGTATTTAGCGGATCTAACATTTTCACAACTTGCTGATTATCGCTTGTCCCTTCATCCGGATCTTGCTCAAAAAAATTGCGACGCAATGGAAGACGTCGAACATAAGAGCGCCGAACCCATCTCTGAACAACTCCATCATTACCAATAGCTTGAAGCACAATGTCTTGGTTTGGCATTCGTTGTCGTCAAAAGGAGATAATTAGAAAGAACTAAGGTTAAACTAAAAAATAAGTACAGGCTTTTATAGTACTGTGCATAAAGAAGAAACGGTTGGGGTTAATATAGTACTTTTATTGGAAAGAGGGGCACTAAAAAGCGAGGCCACTAAAGTGCCCCCAATAAGATTCCGTATCCATTCAGATTATTCCAGATCCGCCTACAACTTTCTCCATTCTTGAAACGTATCCCCCCTCGCTGTTGTAACATTTCAAAGTTTAGCTTCATATTGTGGTTAAAGTTTTAATATTTATAGAAATACATATTCCTTTCGGGACTGCAAGTTCGGGACTGCGAAAATCGTAATCCGATCCCCGGATTACGATTTTAATGCTCTCTAGTTTTATATCAATTTTCTGAATTATTACAACTTGTTTTCTTAAATAACAAAAAATTTAAATAAATTTTTATTTAAAATTTTATTCTTGAAATTTTCACCAAACAAAATGAGATTTAAAATTGGCAGGTGAATTTTTCATATTTAAAGATGTTTTAGATTAAAACAAAAAAAATGATAGAGAAAATTGAAGAGGAATGTTTATATTTTTTGTATTTTCTTGGGAACCCAAAAAAATTTTACAATCCAAAATACAAAAAATTAAAGAAATTTTGAGGCATTAAAAGCAAAGAGAAGCCAAAACAGAGAAAAAAAACTTGAAAATGTTTTTCCTCAAAAAATATAATAGGCAGTTTTAGCGAATAAATATTTCATTTAAAAAAAGAGTTAAATATAGAATTTTATTTAAAAATGTTAAAAAAACAGAAAAGATCAGAGAAAATAAAGGAATATTTAATTATATTCTCTTCTTTGCTAACTTTAAAGAAAAAATAAGTGGACGGTTTTTAAAATAAAAACAAGGTTTTCTAAATATTTTAATTAAAAACCTCAAAACATCTCGTTTTAACTGAAAACCCTGCTTTCAATGAGTATATAAAGAATTTAAATTAAAATAAAAAAAAAGAGAGAAAAAAAAATTCAAAAATGCCCGTATTGCAATTTGTAAATCTAGAATGGAGAAAAAAATTTCTTTTTAAAGAGCAAAATTTTTTAAAAGAAAGATCTCTGTTGTTTTTCACTGAGTTTTAAATATATTTATTTATGCACAAATATATTAACGCCGAGATGTTGATTCAGTTCCAGTCGGATGCTGTTGAGACCCTTCAGGACCGGATCCAGAATGAACAAGGCCTGTCCTGTTATTTGCACCATATTGATCTAAAAAAACAAAAAATTTTTCGATAAAAAATAAATTATTAGGTACTTTCATTTTTTAATAAGTTAATAAAAAGTGTGGACATTTGGGAATGAGCCCTGGTTAAAGGAAAAAGAGTCAAGGAATCATTGAAGACAACAGATATGTATTTTTCAAATAATTATAACTCAGAAGGATCTAGATTGTTAATTTACAAATTTGATTAACTAAATCCTTAGTAATTCATTATTTTGGCATTTTATTCAGAAAATGTCTAAGATTATAAGGAACTCCCATATTTTAGTGTCACAACCTCCAATTATGTCAAAATAATTTTAACAAAATTTAAAAAATTATTTTTCTTTAAAAAAATTTTCTATTCACTTACTAACAAACGAGCCATCCTCATTATATCCTTGATTATCATCTACATCAGCTACCAAAGAATCAGATTCTGATTCTCCACCCCACATGTGTCCCGAAAGAGAACGTTTTTCAATATCTTCTGGCCTTAAATATTTTTGTAAAATTTTTTTCAAAAAAATCTACAAACGTTTTTCCAAATTCTTCAAATTGTTTGTCTTTTGGAAGCATTGGTTCACGTCCATGAAGTCGTTCTTTTTCTTCAACAAAATATTTACGTCCACGTTGATGTAAAAGACAACAAGCAATACAAATAAATAGTAATAGAAGTAACAATATCAATAAAATAATTAATAACCAATATAATGTTGCTCTACGAGGTGCTAAAAATATGAGTAATTTTGAAGATAAATATAAAAAAAAATTTTTGCAAAAAAAGAAAAACTTTTAAGTAAATAAGCAAAATGTTTGGATTTCTAATAAACTTAAAAATGATCCATTTAAAAATAAAAAACAATGATTAATGAGTTTGAAGACCTATAATAGGGGGGGGCTATACCCAAAGGTATAAGCAGGATTATACCTAACGCCCAAAATTACCCCAAATTGAAAGAAAAAGAGCAGATAATTTTAACATAATTTTAAAAAATTTTGAACTTTAAAAAAATCTTGATCGCCTTTTGGATCATGTATTTTTTTCAAATTTTTTTTCTTAATTTAAAACTAGCAAATTCTCAAATATTAATTTTAAAATCCAAAAATAAACTTACAAACTCCAGTAGTTGTAATATGATGTATTCTAGATTCAGTCTGTCCAACAATATTTCCAGCTTCATCCCTTTGTAACGAAACAGTCATTACATCATATTTAGTTCCAGGTGTTAATCTATCCACAGTAACTTGTAATGTTAAACCATCTGGAGGAGGTTCTTTTGTCAGCCATTCATCACCCGAATCCGTTTCTCGATATTTTACATAAAAAGAATTTCCAACAGGCGCCCCTACACGAGAATCATAAGGTCCAGGAACAAAAGATATGTTAAAATGATCATCTCCAATTCCTTCTTTGTAAAGTGATGGCTTGCTAGGTTCAACTGTAATTTCAGCAAATGTAAATAAAAAATTTAGAAGAAAATAAATTATTAGATTAATATTAGAGGAAAACATTTTTTTAAGTTTAAAATCTGTCTAAATAAAAAAGAATTTTTTAAATAAAATAAAGGAAGAATGAATATTTTTTAGTTGAAAAATATACATTTTCTATTTTAGACAATTGTAAATATAATACGTTTAAAAAACTTTTCAGAAAAAAATGGGGAGGATGATAGTCATTTAAAAAATAATAACAAAAGAATTTACATATATTTATGTATATTAAATATATACTAGTTTCCATGGAAACATTAATAATATTATTTTAGTTTTTAAACTAGAAAAAGTCCTCGTCCAAAAAATATAAATTAAAAAAATAATTTTAAACAAATTAAGGGCAAAATCTTTAACAAACGTTAAATTTTAGAGAAATAATTAAGGATCCGAAAGGGTAAACAATAAAAGATTAAACAAAATGTCTAGACAAAATTCCATAAAATTTAAGCTATAAAGTAGAAAACTTCCTACCCTAACAAGTCAGTCATCCTAAAAATGGAAAAAACAACATTGTAATTTTACTAAATTCCCTATTTAAAAGACAAACAAAAAACAGCAATGAAAGAAGAAAATCGAGTAAAAGTTTAAAGAAACATTTTTAAAGAATTTTTGCCCACAAAAAGTAGCAAAGCACACAACAAAAATATATTTTTATTTTCTAATCTTTTTCCATTATCTAAACTATTTGGAAGAAAAAAAATTTAGTAGCACCTCAAGGAAGAGCTAAAATGCTAATAAATATTTTTTTCAAGAAAAAGACACACCAGCTGCTGTTTTTTCCTTAAAAACAAGTAAATTTTGTCAAAGGAAACACCCCTTTCCAAGGAAAAAATTCTAAAAACCAATTAATGCAAAGAAAAGGCGACAACAGATGAGACCAAACAACTCATAATAAAATAAAATATAATAAAAATTAAGACGGAAAGAAGCTGTGTTTAATTAACAACAAATATTTTTAAATTAACCCTGGACGCAGATGTGGCGGAAATTCCGTCTTTCTCCCAACCTTTTTTACATTATTAAAATTTAATTAAATGAAAATAATAAAAATGTAAATAAAGAAAAGGACATTTTTCTTAATGCAAATAATTTCTTTTAAAAGCATTTTTAATATAAAAATATTTTATAGAAAATATAGTTAATATGCATAAATTTTAGATAGAAAATTGTTATGGTGCGAAATATTTTAAACGCAAGAAAATGAGTATCAATTAGAAGTTTGTCTAATCCGAATAAATTTAAATTTTTTTATTTTAAAGATCTCGTCCCAACACCCCCAATAGAATCAAAAATTTTTATATTTTTAATTTAAAATTATTTTAAAAAAACCCACTATTTAAATGCAAGGCTTCAGGTAATGTATGTGCATCAACAGAATTTAAAAGTCCCATTCCACCTCCAGTATGTGCAGCAAATTCAAAACGATATTTTGTATTATAACGAAGATTAATTATTCGAAGTTCAGTTAATCGTCTATTTACATCTACTGGTTCACCACAATTTGTAAACTAAAATTTTTATTTGAGATTTCAAAATAAATTTAAAGGGATTTTATATTTAGGTATGTTATTTTGAGGATAAATGGGAAAATATTTATAAAAAATAAGGCTCTGTTACTCAAAGGTAAAAATTAAAAATTTTTTCGCCATCAACAGAATTTAAAAGTCCCATTCCAAAAACACACCCCAAATTAAGTACTAGTGTTGTCATTCTGACAGGAAAGTCAAAAAACTGAATACTTTTAAAGGTCCCCATTCATTACTACATTTAAATATTTTTTTTAAATTAACCTATTCTTTATTGTTACCTCTTCACTTTCAGGATCATCTCCATCACTCGCTCTACAATGAACAACCGTATATTTAATCAATCGACCATTACGTTCTCTCGGAGGATGCCATTTAAGCACAACAACAGCATGTTCAGATGCATGACGGTTATTCATTGGATATGCACGTAAATCGCGTACAGGCGTAGGTACTGAAATTAAAAATTTTTTTTTTAGATAAACAAAAAATTTTGTAAAAAATCCAAAAATTACAAACCTCCCTCTTTTGTCCTAAACGACAGTTCTTGTGATGGTGCACCCTCATTCTGTCCATTTAATACAGAAATAACCGCATAATTTATAGAATTTGGTTTCAATCCAGTTATAGTACCACGAGTCACGCCTGGTGCAAATACTACAGAATTTCTTTCAAAGTTTCCACTTCCACTCGATAAATCACCAGCCCTTCTATGACGAGCTTTTCGTATTTTGTTATTTGATTCATTATCCAAAAGACTATTTTCATCATACCAATAAGTTATCTTAAAAATAATTTTTGATTCTGAAATCAAAATAATCTCTTACCTTATACCCACTAAAATTTCCTTGTACTTTGGAAGGATCTACTGAATCCCATTCAAATTCTGCAGAAGTTGAAGTGACTTGAATTAAGCGGAAATTTGTTGGTGTAACTCCAGGTTCTCCCTCGCCAGTTCTTCCCTCAACAACTTCAGGCATTACAGTTGAAGCTCCTTTCCCATTTATTGCACGGACTTGAACCTACAAATTTTTTATTTGAGAAAGAAAGAAAATTGTCAATAGCCATTATAACAAAATTAATATCCGAAAAGCGTGTTATACCCCCAAAACAAACCTCATATTGATCCCATGCTCTAGCACCTCCATCACCCAAATCAATTGTATATTTATCAGCAAATGGGTCCTCAACAGTTATACTTTTCCAATCACCTCCTTCCTCCTTTCGACGATATAAGATGCGATAAGCAAAATTTTCAGCATTCCATTCATCTCTTGGCATTGGTTCCCAATACACAATTAAATTATCTGGTTGTGTTCCTTGTAACCAAACACCAGAAGGATTTCGAGTTGGAGGTTTTTGGGATGTTTGACACGTTCCATCAATAATGTAAGGGGCACTGTCACCAATCGCATTCCTTGCAATTACTTGGAAGGTGTACTAAATAATATTTAGTAAATATAACAGTAAATTTTATTTAAAGATGATATTCAAATCTTTAAAGGTCAAATAGTCGAAACCCAAGTTGTTTCGAACCGAGCGGGTTGTTCGGATCCGAGTTGTTTCGGACCGAGTTTGCCACCCTATACAGGACAATTTCAGTTATGTTAATCAGAATTCTGTTATATTTCCCTAATTTTTCAAAATCAAGAAACCCTAAAAGTAACTAATTAAATACAAACCGTTCCAAACGGCTTCAACAAAATTTTCACTTGACCACGAACAAGCCTCAACGATTCCCCAACTGTTTCATGTGGTAAAGCCTTCAATGGAACTGGGTAAGTTTGCCATTTTCCTTGATCAACCTCCTGATCAACACTATATCTAATCCTTTAAATAAATTAAAAATACAATATAACCAGAAATTTATACCAAAATTCTTCAACAGGTTTAATTCGATCAGCAGGTTCATAGTGCTCAAAATCAATTGTTACAATAGGCTCGTCAATATTACAGCTTGAAATACGTGCTGAATGGACAGGTTGAGGTACATCTAAAAATATTTTAAAAGTAATTTGAGAATTCTTAAAGAATTTTCTTTCTGTGAATGGCAAACGTTGAAGTGGTCAGATTTTTTGTTTTCGGATATTTTAAAAATTCTAAAAACCAAAATGGTTCAAATTTTGGAATCCCTTTTCTAGGTAATCAAATAGTTAAACAAATAGATAATAAAAAAATATAAACCTTCGATATTAACAGTTATACTTTTCGAAATTTCATCCAATTTAGTCTTAACCAAGCAAGTATACATTCCACTATCTTCTTGTGTTGGCTGTTCAATAACAAGTGTATTATCTTCTGTCACATGGTAATGTCCACCTCCAATTTCTTTATTTGCTTGAGCTAAATCTCTTCCATTAATTGTCCAAATATATTGAACATCCAAATCAGGATCATGTTTGGCCTCACAAGGTAATTCTTAATTTAGAAAATTATTATTAAAAAGTTTGTAAAAACAAACTCATTGGAATTCCTGCCCGATGTTCCATTCGTTGTTTAGAGAACGGATCAAGCAATGTTGGAACTGAAAAAATATAAATTTACTTGAAAATAAAATCAGAAAGCCCAGAAATTTTTTTAAAAAACTACTCACTTCTTACAACTAATTTTTGAGTAGCAGATGCAGAACCATATTTATTGACACCTGTGCATTTGTATTCCCCGTCATATCCTCTTCTCACCTCTACAAAAATAGGAATTAATTTTTTAAACTAAAATTTAATAAATACCTTCAAACAACAACCATCCAGTACCAAATTGATCAACTTTTGTACTATAAGGAACTCCACCAAGTACAGGACTTTCCCATGTCACAGTTGCTTGAGGAGATGAAAAAAATTTGCATTGAAGTGAAAAAGGTTTTCCTTCAATCGCTTCTACTTGACCTGGCTCCTCTAATAATTGAGGTTGGAAAGCTTAAAATTATTTTCAAAACTTTAAACAAAATTCTTAAAAATACCCAACAAATTCAAATAAAAATTTGTCCATAAATATCCGTGTTTATTTTCTGATTTACATTGATAAACAGCATTGTCTCCAGGCAGACCATTAGCACCCTTTTTCACATCATATATTGTCAATTTAGAGCCTTCAATCACCCAATTCTCACCGGGACGAGGTCTCCGCAACTCTTTAAAAAATTAAAGGAATATCAATCATCATCAATTTAAAAACGATAAAATCGGGGGAGTAATGTTTAGACGCCAATTGTTTGGCGTCGGAACTAAATCTTAGACCGAAGAACTTGAGGAACAAAATTCGAATCAAAAATAGTTCCAACGCCCAAACAGTCAGCGCCAAAAAGTTTTAGACTATAAATAACTCTCACCTACGCCATTCTTGTAAAAGGTAACAACTGGAGTTGGGTTACCAAGCGTTTTGCAATCAAAGACAACTGTTTCCCCTTCACTAGTGTTCACACTTGCAGGTGGAAGATCAAACCAGTAAGGCGCCGCTAAAAAAGAAGAAAATTAATAAAAAAACTAGTCCAAAAAACCATTTAATTTAATATCAAAAGTTCTGTCAATCGAAGCATGCCTTTCAAATTTACAATCATATCTTCCAATATGTTGAGCAGTAACGTTGAAAACTAAAGTTTTTCCAAAATTTTCAAAAGAAAAGCCTCTGGTATTGTCTAAAGTAATTTCTATTCCATTATGATACCAAATTGGTGTTGGGTTTGGGCTGGAATTTAAAAGAAAAAATTTTTTTGAATTTATAATTAGAGGTAAATATGTAAATGTTTTGAAAATCGTTTCGTATCTTAACAAGGAAAAAATTATTAGAAAAATTTATTGTCGGTGGACACTTCCTAAAATATTAATTACTGAATTTTTAAATATTTTTTTTATTTATCCTTCATTTAAAAATAAAAAACTCAAAAATCCTTCTCTCAAGATTCATTTAAAAATACTCTTTCTCCTTTTATTTATCTAACAACCCAACTGAATTAATTTTTATTTGTGGTTCAAAATATTTTATTTTCTTCTGCAAAAAATTTGAGCCAATTAAATTTTATAAAAGGTAAAAATTAGTTATAGTTCAATGATTTTAACTATATTTTTATTTTTAAATGTTTTCGGTAAATTAATTTTTTTTTGTATTTATTTAATCAAATTATTTTTATAAAAATAAATTTAAAAAAAACTTACAATCCAGAGAAAAAACAATGAAGTTTGTGAATATGTCCAAGTAATGCAATTGGTGAAGATTGATTGACCCATTGTTGTTCTGGAGGCATATTGCGCACTTTAAACGACAAAAAATATTTATTGAAAAATTTAAAGAATGTAAATTACATTTTTCTGTTGCATGTCTTTTTTTGACATTAAAATTGAATTGATTGTTGCTGAACTAAAAAAATAAAAATCATGTATTCTTGTGTTCATGTTTATCTAATAGATCTATTTTCTATAAATGTGTTTTTTCCCAAAAATGCTATTTTCAAAGCTCCTTAAAATTAAATTTTCTGCCATAACAAATTTTTTTAGAATGATCCAAGACGGAAAATTGGCTTTTAAGAATTATCTAAATTCCCCCCCCCCTATAATCCAAGTAAAAAATCGTCTTTTTCACAAACCTTGTATTCCTTCAATTCCTGATTATAAGCAGCACACGTGTATAAAGCATTGTCCTTGAAATCACTTTCTTGCACATAATGAAAGAAAATTGTACCCTAAAATATTACCAACCTTATTATTGTTGCCAAAAAGAAGTTGACTAGGAAGAATTGAGATTAATAGGAAAAAGTGAGCAAAATGAAAGAATTGTGGCAGAAATGAAGAAATAATAAATAAAGAATATTTTTTTACTCTTTTTTTAGAGTATAAAAGGGGAAGGATTTTCATTTATTTTTTTATTTTTACAATAAAACTAGTTCTCTAGAAAATCTATAAAATTTCAAAAAAAATTTTTTAAATTAAAATTCTCGAAAAATAAATTTTTTTTTTGTTTTGAAAGTCTGCGCAGACTTATTCCTCCATCAAAAGCCACGCATGCAACATGTAGGATAAAATTAGGAAAATTTTTTAGTTGGTGGGCGGTCGATGGTCGCAGTACAGGTCGTTTAAGTAAATTCGTGAGGAGGTTAGGGGTAATTGACTTTCAAAAAAAGTAAATGTAAATGCGCGGAAATTAGTCTTGGGGAAAGAGTCATAAAGGGGAAAATTGTAAAAAAATATTTTTAAATTTAAGAGGGAAATAAAGAGAAAGATGGATAAATCGATTTTTAAAAATCAAAGGGCGGATAAAAAAATAAAAAATAAATTGCCAAATTTTTATTAAAAAATTTTTTGTAGAAAAAATCGTTAACCATTCATCCCAGAATTTTCAAAAAAATAAAAAAAGTCCATTAAAAATTCCCCAAAAATGGAAAATATTTCAAAATATTTTGGAAGAAATAAAAATTAAAATAGAAAGAGATGGAACAAGAAAATCAGTTAAATTTTTTAAAAATTTTAAAACGATAAATGAGAGTTTTTATAAAACACTAAACAATGTTTTGTGCTCGGGTCTTATTTTATTTTTTTTTCGCAGCCACCGCCCTTTTTCGTTTTTTTTCAAAAATTGTTCAATAGTGAAAAAAGCAGATAGAGGAGAGGACAAAATGAGGTAAGAAGGGGATGTAAAGAACTCAAAGGAGCGTGAGTTATGTGTAATAGAAGGAAATGTGTTGGACATAAAAATATGGCTGGCAATAAATAAAAACGGTTAAAAGAAAAATGAAATATTAAATAAAAGGAGGGCTTTTTTAATTTTAATAAAACAGAAAGGTTAAGGGTGATTGAAGAAAACCCCGTTAAAATCTAGGTAGTCATTATCCAGAAAATAAGCTTGAGTGTTTACGGGGAAAACAAATTATAGTGGTAGTTAAACAGTAAAAAGGCTTCCATTTCCACAAGAACAAAGTAGAAAATAAAAGAAATTATCGGCATAACAATTTTAAAAATATGCCAAGAAAATAAAAATAAAAACTAGCAATTGAGAACCCCCTCACCCCTCTAATTGTCTCTCTAACTAGCCATCAACTAAACAAGCATACATCAAAAGCTGGTTACTCAATCGCAGCAAAATGGCAAAAATATATCCATTTTCTCTTTTTTAAAAGCTAGACAAAGAGTTTAGCCCTTTCGGCGCACTTTTCCCGCTTTTTCCTTCTATTTTCAGCTTCTTCTCGTCATTCTCCCTTTCCCCTTTTTGCTAAACAGCAGTTGCACAAACCTTTGCGTGAGGATAGTGAAAATAAAATTTTTTTTGAAGAGGAGGGGAAGAGAGACTAAAAATGAGGACTTGAGAGAGAAACAAAAGAGAAGAAAAATATAAAAACGTTACACATTGATGGTCGAGAAAAAGAAGAAAAAAGAAGGAAAAAGCCTTTTTATTATTGAATGTCCAATGCTTTTTGCTAAAAATAAAAAGATATTGTGCTACTTGCAGTGAAGAAAAAAAAGTATATTGAATTCCCAAGTGGCGAGAACGCTCTCTCTCTTTTCTTGTTTAGAAAGATGCTTTGATGATGTAAAGAGACAGATGCAAAAAGCGAGGAAAAAGAAGAGGGCGAGACTTAAGGGACAACCAAAAAAATAAAAAATTTTTTACGAATTGAAAAGCAAAATTTAAAGTCAGAAAAGAAAATCAGGAAGGAAGCCCCCTTTATGTAGTTGACAAAAGACTTTAAAAAAGAGGCTAAATGACTTTGACCAAAAGGAAAAAAAGAGAAAGTTTATAAAAATGAAGCGAGAGAAGCTTCTTCTCGTCAGAAGAATTTATATATTTTTTAGTAAGAAGAAAAAAATTTTTTTTGTCATCCAAAAATGGATAAAAAGAAAACAAAAAAATTTTAAGAAAATAAATAAAGACTTGAAGGATGTAAAAATTGATAAAAATAAAATATAAAAATTTTTATTTAATGTAAAATGGCCAGTTTAACATTAATTATTAACCAAAATATTAATAAATAAAATAGGGGAAAATAATTAATTAAAAATTAATAGAGAAAATAAATAAAAAATATTTTTTTATTTATTTTTATGGCTTGTTTAATAAAAAATACTCTCTAAAAAAAATTCGAGAATCGCAAAAAATAAATAAATTATTTTTATCAAAAAAAGCTTCAAAAACACCGCTTTTCATAATTAAAAAGGCGGTTAAAAATAAAAAAAGATAAAAAATTTTTATTATTTAACCAGATGTATTTTTTATGGTTTACGAGGTGATTTTTATTTAATTTTACTATTTAATTGGGTAGTTTTTTTTAATTTTTTTAACTAAAATTTTGCTTGCTTATCTCTATTAAAAAATTTTTTTTGAAATTTTAAGAGGCTTTTTAAATGAAAACTGAGAGTGATAGATAATTTTTCTTCAAAGATTAGAATTAACTGAAAGAAAACGAGAAGGCAAAAATGAGGATAAATAGTGAATTAAATAGAAAAAATAGTTGAGATTGAGTGAAGAGAATTGGAAGAGATATTTTTTAGAATTTTCTTTAAAAATTTTAAAAATGTTACGAAATCCGTTCTATAAATTTTATAATTTTTGGAGGCAAAAAAGAACAAAAATATTAGAAAGACAAGAAAAGAACAAGTAGGAAAAATAAATATTTTCATGGATTTAGAGTAATTGGATAAACTTTAAAAGTGTAGACAAAGGCAAACCCCAGAACAGTTAGATAATTTTTGCCAAGGAAATAGATAGATAAAGATGCTTTTTTGATAAATTAAGAGACATAGAGAATAATTTTAAATTTATTTTAAAAAAAATTTCCACAAACCTTTTCACTCGACGAAATATGAGAAGAATTAATTGCACTTATGTGTTTAACATTGTCAGGAGAACGTAAAATCCAAAAAATCATTGCTGGAGGATTTGAATCGGGAGGAGTACAATCACGGGCATATGGTCTACTCAAAGGTATTTCAACTACATTAGGTCCTTCAAAATCAGGAAATGGATTAATCCCTTAAAATTAAATATAAATTCTTGTCAAACTTAAATTAAAATAAATAGTGTTTAATTGTTTTAACGACCCGACAATCCTATTCACGTTAAAAAAATAAAAATTTTCAAAGAAAGAGGAAATAATTTTATGGTAGTTGGACTCTGGAAAATCTTCGGATGTCCGGAACCAAAAAACCCAAAAATTCCGGGTTATTCGGTTTCGAACCGACAATCCTCATCGATTTTTTAGAACATGCTGATATCTTTATATTAATTTTCAAAAATTAATACTACCATCCTCCTACTGAAAAGATCAAGAGATACAAAACTTATTCTCACATTAATGATTTAAAAAATCTTTAAAAGGTGCCAAAAGTTAAATTTTTTAAAAATCCAAAAAAACCTACAAGCCAACAAAAGTTTAATTTTCTCAGAATAAGCAGTTCCATTATCATTACTAGCCAAACATTGATATTCCCCCTCATCAGATTCAAAAAATTTGGTAAAAATTAAAGAGCCATTATCAGAATTTGTAATTATTCTATCTCTGTAAACATTGACAGGAAATGTTGAATTATCCTTTAGCCATCTATATCTATAAATTTTTTTAAAATTATTTTAATTTAGGTGATGATTAACTTAATGAATTAAAAACTAAATTTCTTTAAAAAAATTCTTAAAAAAGCTTTGATAAAACACCTCTTCAAAATAATTTTAATTAAGAGGTTATCAATAAATAAAACCCCGAAATTCCTCTAAAATATTTTTTGAGAAAAATTAAATTATTTTTCCACGTTGGGATTCGAACCCAGGACATACTCTCTCATAGAACCAAACATCTTCCCACTTAACTACACCAAGGGCGTAAACGGGGGCTAAAGGGAAATCGCCCTCCTGGCTATGCCCTTGAACAACACAAACTTTATAAAAAAATTTTTAATTTTTGCCCTCAAGGAAAATAAATTTATAATACCTATTATCCCAAGAATTTTCATAAAAATTAAAAAAAATTAATTTACTCAGGCCGTGGAATTCCAATAGCAACACATCTAAAAACTTTTGGCTTCAAAAAGTGTTGTAAATGATTAATTCCATTTTGGTGTTCATCCCTCTCATGTCGCCCATTTCCATTAGGCCCTTTATAGTCTTGAAGAGAAAAATAAGTAATTGGGTCATTCCGTTCGTGAATAAATCTTGGAGGGGTTGGAACATTAGCCCAATCAATTTGTGAAATTGGCGAGGAATTTGAGCTTGAAAATAATTCGGCAACTAAAAAAAAAATTTTTTTTTAATTTTTCTTAAAAAGAAAATTACCAGTAAAATATATTTTGAGGTAGAACAAAACACAACAAATTAATTTGGAGATCATTTTGGTGATTTTTTTTATAAAAATATTTTTTATATCACCTTAAATTTACATTTAATCTAAAAATTAAAAAAAAATATTTAAATAAAAATTTATGGAAATTAAAAAATATTGAGAGAAAAATGTAAAAGACAGATAAAATTAAAAAGTAAAAGTGGCTAAAAAATATTTCAAAAAAATCTAAAAATAAATTTAAGTAAATTGTGAAAAAAATTAATTTAGAGAGAGTTAATTTAGAGTCAGTTGCAAGAAATTTAGCAGGGAAAAAAGTAAAAGTGGCTAGAAAATATTTGTGAAATTGGCGAAAAATTAATGACCATAATTTTTACAAAAATTGATCGATTTCGATGTTCCTTTGTTTTAAAATGACTCCTTTTTCAAGCTCAATTTTTTGAAATTAAAAATATCCTTTTTAAATTCATTTCGGAAAAATATATCCTCAAAATTTCTGTTCGAAGTATAACTCTTTGTCAGCAAATCGCCAACAAAATTTAAATCTCCCCAAATTTTTTTAATAAAAATAAAAAAAATGTGACAAATATTTCAACATCCCCTCCTTTTTCGTTTAAAAAAACTTTACAGGAAAAGGAAACAAGGAAATAGAGGAAAATAGTTCTTTTCTTAACAACGCTCTACCAAAAAGGATATATAACAACACCAAAAAAACCAGAAAAATATCGAAAGGTTTTTCAGTCAAAAACCCTTCCCTCAATGTGTTCTTTTGGTTCTTGCAAGAAAAAAAATTTATAGAGAAAGAAAAAAATAGCCAGAGATGGAAAATTGGCGGAAATGAGCAACGCTTGAAGGGGTATATATAAATATATAAGAAGGACCACGCCAAGCAAAAAAAACATTAAAAAAGGGCCATGGAGAGTGGAGGGGGGTTAGTATATTTTTTAAGAAAATGAGGTAAAATTCAATTTCGTACCCCCCCCTCCTTTTTCCTTCTACAAAGTATTATAAAATGGTCAATCAGACTTAGATTATAGAACTTGTCGAGCTGTGTCGAATGACACCAAAATCAACGTGATTAGACATGGTTTGACAAAGTTATGACATTATGTAGAACTAACGGAGTCGGCGACTTTATGTCATAACTTTGTCAAATCTTGTCCAATCACGTTGATTTTGGTGTCATTCGACTCAGCTCGACGAGCTCTTTCGAATGAGCTATCATTTGTATAAATTTTCGTCCTTATGGGTTTTCGCCCCTATGGTTGTTCAATTTTCAGGGGTCTGTATTTCGGTCAAATCGAGTCCAATTTTTTTGATTTTGTTGTCATTCGACACAGCTCGACGAGTTCTATAATCTAAGTCTGACTGACCATTTTATAATACTTTGTAGAAGGAAAAAGGAGGGGGGGGGTACGAAATTGAATATTACCGAAAATGAAGATGCTGAAAAAAATGTGATGCATGTAAATAATAGAGGTATATAGAATTTAATTCGAGAAGAAAATACTAAAGCCCTTTTTTACTATTCTTTGAAAATAGCTTTTTTAATTAAAAAAACAAATGGATTGGTTGAATTGTTTGAGGATATTTGAAATTTTTGAAGGTAAAAACGAGGAAATGTTAGTGTCCGCTGGTGGGACGAACGCGGCTAGATTTTTCAAAAGTTCGGATCCGGCCGGACACGCCCAAGTAGGCGCGCGGCCATAACCATAACTTGCTGGAAAATTTCTGGCTCTTATCAATTCTGGTACCAATCTCTTTAGCTCACCGTGAGGAATCGTTTAATATTAAATTTGGGGTAATCGTGAAGAATTGGGGATACACTTTTAAAAATACTAAAAATTATTATTTTTTTCTGAAAATCATTTTATATAGGTAATCGACTATGCTGAACACGAATCCGATAACAGATTTTGTCAAATATGACATTTTATCTATGATTTCTTATCATGTACTTGATTTCCAGCTAAGATTCTGTTGGTCATAACTTTGTTCAGAATCATTCAATCGAGCTCATTTTGATGCTATTCGACTCATCTCGACGAGCTCTTTCGAATGATGGGTCATTTGTATAATCGAATTTTTTGACCCAAAAAATTTTCAAATTTCGGGGGTCTGTAACTCGGCCGAATGAGGTCAAATTTCGTTGATTTCGGTGTCGTTCGACTCAGCTTGAGGAGCTCTTTCGAATGAGCTATAATTTGTATAATCGGATAATTTACCCCTAAATCGACCTTACTTCCCTCTATGGGTTTTCGATTTTCGGGGGCCTATATCTCTGCGAGTTTTCGTCCCCAGCAAAAAATTTTCTATATTTGAACTCAGCATAGTCGATTACCTACATAAAATGATTTTCAGAAAAAAATAATAAGTTTTAAGGTTTTTAAAAGTGTATCCCCAATTCTTCACGATTACCAAATTTGGTAAGATTCGGAAATCATGAAGCGCGCACACTTGGGGTTTTTAAGGTTTTTAAAAGTGTATCCCCAATTCTTCACGATTACCAAATTTGGTAAGATTCGGAAATCATGAAGCGCGCACACTTGGGCTGTACCCCGCAAAATCCTTTTGGATCTGGTCCGGCAAAGGGACTCAGAAATTACTATACATAGTCAAGAAAAGTATAAAAAACAACAAAACACAAAAGATCAATAAATAAACAAATAGGTCAAAAGCACCCTCAAACTCAACAAAAATATTCTAAACAAACAAAAGCCAACATCGAGACTAAAACACACACAAAAAAAAAAGAACAAATTAAATAAAACCCAAAAGATCAACAATGAAAAAGACAACAAAGAAAATCGAAAAATAATTTTTGGCATTATGTCAATAATAAAAATAACGCCAAAAAAGCTACCAAATTTATTTTTAAAATTAAAGAAAGTCCTTAAATTATTTTTAGATTTCTGTTAAAATTATCTAATAAATTTTGTGTAAATTGACATAATAAAATAAAAAAAATATATTGACTTGGAAAGTACTTAATTGGTTAGAGTGCAATAAAAATAAAAAAATATTTTTTGGGTGATTCGCATGACGAGAAAATAATATTATCGTAAATATATTTATTGTGCTAGTTGTTGTAAAAAAATAATTATTTTTTTTGGATTTTTTTGACTGAAAAAGAGGGTTATCTCTTAACTAAAATCTCAACCTTTTCTATAAAAAAATAATTTTCTCTTCTCAGAAAATAAAAATAAATTTAGAAACTTGGCCGTAATTTTTTGTATTAAAAAATTTAAATAACAAAAAGTCTGGAAATTTTTATAAAAACCAAAGAAAAAATTTAAATAAATGTTACCATGGAGTATAGCCAAGAGATCAAAAACAAATCAACCCTATAATTGATCAGAATCTATTAAAATTTTAATTAAAAGCATTTTTAAAAATACGATCTTTTGGAATAGTTAATAGATTGATATTTGCATTTAATGTAAAGAAGTGAGCAATTTGGAGAGCTAAATAACATAAGTATTTTGTGATTAAGAAAATATGTATATAGGTGAATAATTGTAAAAAATAGAAAAAACAAAATTTTGTTTGGGGCTCTAACACAAAAGATCAAGAAGCCTTTTAGAGGAAAATTAAATGTAGAGCAATTTAGAGAGCTAAAAGTAATTTAAAAGTAAATTTTAATCAAAATTTTAATTTAATAACGTATGTATCTCTCTCCCAATATAGATCTCTCTCCCAAATTTAAAAATAAAAATTCCCCAACAAAAACAAATTATTTAAAAAAAATATTTATTAAAAATATTAGTTTAAAGAAAAATAACTGAAAATTAAAAATACAACATTCTAGCAACATTTTACACAAAATTACAAATAAACATAGATAGAAAAGAATTTAATTATAACACATTAATGACGTTAATTGTTTTTTTTTAAATATTTTTAAAGGAATGTTAAAAATAAATTAAATTTATATATTAAGGTATTTTTAATTAGGTAGAGGAACCGGTTTTTCTTTTAGATTTTTCCGATTTTTTTATTGTTATCAGGGTTAAAATAATTAGAAGTTCAACCAACAATATTATTGACCTTATTTAATAATCCAAGACGATATTTAAAGAAAATAAAAGATTTGGGTGAAGAAATGAGAACCTGGACTAGGATGGTCAAAAGAGAATTCGAGATTTATGTTCGAGATCTTTTCTCGTTCCGATCTCATAGAAATAACCCTCTCAATTAAAAACCGATAATAAAACTAAAGAGTCGATTAACTACTGAAGTAGGGTTGGCAAATTCGAAAAAAGCTCGGATATCCAGAAATTTTCGGATCGGGTTTCGGATACGGATATCCGGAGACTTCCCAGGATCCGTCAACCTTACACTAAATGAATTCAAAAAAATAAAACAATCGAAAAAAATAAATAAACTTTTAGAAAAAGCAAAAGTGTGACAATTAAAATTAATTTTATTTATTATTAGAAGGAAAAGGGGGGACAGCGATCAATGTCGCCAAATGAAGAAATAATTTTTATTCTGTGGTTGGAGGTCAGAGATTTATTTTTAAGGAGAAGATGGGCATAGAAGATAAATTGGCGATTTTCTTTTTATTTATTTTTATTGCCCACACAATAACAAGTGTTTTTAGTTTTTTTACAAAGAAAAAAAAATTTTTTTATAAAATTTGAAAAAAAAAGAATTGGGAAATTTGTTCAAAAGTGTGAAAATTAAAAAAATGAAAGAAAAGAAAAAAAACTTTTTTTATACAAACGAATAAATTGTAAAAAAAGTAGGGGGGGGGGGGACATGAAATTAATTTTTGTATTTTCCTAAAAATATTTTTGGAGTTAGGAAACGCGTGATTGGCCGTAACTTTCAATTTTTGCCTTTCGATTTATATTTTTAAATAGAAAAAATATCCAGGACTACATACCAAATTCAATAGGCATAATCATAACATCCAAACGAAGTTGACGAAAACCAACAGTTTTTAATCAAAAATTATCGGTTTTTAAAATTATTTTCCTGTCTCCTAAAGTCTCTGATTCGCTACAAAATAAAAAATAATTTATTTAAGAAAATTGTGAATAAAATTAACTGATAAATGAAAAAAGAAAGGTATGTAAAACCTGAAATAAATTATAGGAAAATAAAATTTAGGATGAGCCATATATTGACAAGAAAGATTTTTAAACTGTTTTCAATTAAAAATTAAAATACTAATTAAATAAAAACTCTAAGGTAAAAATTAGGGTTGGACACAATCGGTTTTAAAACCGATACCCTCCATGTTAGGTTAATCCAAATTAAAAAATCCCAGTCGTAGTTTAATACCGGTTCTATCTTGGTGTAATTCTTAAATCACTCATTTGAAAAAATTTTCGATTTTTAAACCCCGGGCAGTGCCCTACC